GGGACAGATCCTGCTGTGGGCTGGAGGGTGCTGGCTACACAGAGGGACAGTGGGGTGACCTGATGAACACAACTGTTTCTGTTTTTCCTAAGCATTGCACCGCTCCATTCACGCCCTTGCAAGGACACAGTGGCCCCTGCTGTTGTCTCAGTCTCAGGGTGAAGATGGTGCTGCTTTCTAGTGGTTCCTGAGTGTTGACTCTACAGTATCACTTCTCAAGTGGAAACACGATTTAAAAATATTTAAAATGGGGGAGAGTTGGCTCAGTGGGTAAGAGCATTAGCTGTTCTTCCAAAGGACCTGGGTTTAATTCCCAGAAACCACATGGCAGCTGTCTGTGACTTCAAGGTCTGTGGGTTTTTTTTTTATGGTTTTTCGAGGCAGAGTTTCTCTGTATTGTTTTGGAGGCTGTCCTGGAACTCGCTCTGTAGACCAGGCTGGCCTCAAACTCACAGAGATCCGCCTGCCTCTGCCTCCCGAGTGCTGGGATTAAAGGTGTGCGCCACCAACGCCCGGCTGGGGTTTTTTTTTTTTTTTTTTTTCAAGATAGGGTTTCTCTGTATTGTTTTGGAGCCTGTCTTGGAACTCGCTCTGTAGACCAGGCTGGCCTCGAACTCACAGAGATCCATCTGCCTCTGCCTCCCGAGTGCTGGGATTAAAGGCGTGCGCCACCAACGCCCAGCCAATAAAAATAAAAATAATTAAAGCCAGCTGATGCAGTGCATGTCTGTAAACCCCAGCACTTGGGAAATTGAGACAGGGATGAAGTTCAAGGCTACCCTGGACTACAGGACTGTAAGAGGGCCTTGTCTCAAAAGCATCGAACAGTCTGGGTTTAGCTCAGTGGTTGGTAGCGTACTCCTTAGCATGCAGAGGTCCTGGGCTCCAACCCGAGTACTGGCTAGAATCTATGTTCTCTCCCCACTCCCCTGTGTGTCCGCCGTGTGCGTGCGTAATCAGTGGCTGTGAGCTCCTGTCCTGGGTACTGAGCCATCTCTGCAGCCTCCTCCACTCCTCACTCTTGTTTTGTTGGCAGTTTATAAATCTGGGAAGGTGGTAGGAGGAAGACAAAGAAATCAAAGTATTACATTAAAAAGTAGCTGTTTCTGTGGGAGACTCCAGAGCCCTGTACAGTCATCACTGGGGTTGGTGCACTGCACATGATTGGGAGGTGACCCTGCTCACATGCCACTTTCTCGTTCCCAGTGGGATCTTGGTGTGCACTGATGTGATGGCCCGGGGAATTGATATTCCTGAAGTAAACTGGGTGTTACAGTACGACCCTCCCAGCAATGCCAGGTATGCCAGGGTTTGTTCCTCTGTCTAGGGATTGAGCCGAGTAAGTTATGAACCTGGAGGAAGGAGAACATGCACTGAAAATATTAAACATTTCAATTTGTTTTTTTGATACAAGAGTCTCATGTAGCCAGATCATCCTGTTTCTTGAGTGCTGGGGTTTCAGGCATGTGTTACCACATCTGGCTTAAAGTTTGAAATCGAAGCACTCTACCATTTGGATTATATATAGCCTAGCTCCCGAGACTTTACATTCCAGAAGTAGGCAGATGGCCAAATAGCTTTGGATGTGTTAATACTGGTGTGTTGTTCTAGCAATCACGTTCAGTTAATAGCCTGGGCTGCTGAGTTGAGACGCTGTCTACAAAATGGTGTGTGTGTAGAGGGATGAGTAAGGAGAAGAAAATTCCACTGTGAAAGTTCATGCACAAGTGCAACGTGCAGAATACTGGGAAGAGCAACAGACCTTCCAAATAAACGCGTCTCTCTGCGAGTGAGTGGACACTCCAGGGAAGAGCAACAGACCCTCCAAATAAACGCGTCTCTCTGCGAGTGAGTGGACACTCCAGGGAAGAGCAACAGACCCTCCAAATAAACGCGTCTCTCTGCGAGTGAGTGGACACTCCAGGGAAGAGCAACAGACCCTCCAAATAAACGCGTCTCTCTGCGAGTGAGTGGACACTCCACACACTTCTTATTTGTGGTTTTTCAAGACAGGGTTTCTCTGGGTAGCCTTGGCTGTCTGGAGCTCTCTATATAGACCAGGCTGCTTCCCTGTGTAGATCAGCCAGCGTCTGCCTCAGGAGTGCTAGGGTTAAAGGCATGCACCACCACACCCGGTCCTCCTCACTCAATTCTAAATGTCAAAGTGGCATTCAGATCCCAAGTGATGCATTTTCTGACATCTGTCCTTCCAGGGCACTTTTTCCTTATGCTGTCTTTTGCTTCTGTTTCCCCTTGTGACCCTGCTGTGTGACCTGAGAAAGCCCAGCTTTGGTCGGGGTCTTAGAGCCAGTAGACCGTCCCTCCTGGTGCTGTCTGCGCCACTGTTTCTTCGCAGCTCTTCCATGCTCACTTTCACCCTTGGGGTATTGTCCCATTCTGTCCCCTAGTGCCTTCGTGCATCGATGTGGACGAACAGCCCGAATCGGCCATGGTGGCAGCGCTCTGGTGTTCCTACTACCAATGGAGGAGGCATATATCAACTTCCTGGCCATCAACCAGAAAGCAAGTAGCATACTCACCTGGGCTGGGCTGGGGGCGCATTGGCTAGCATCATGCCTTTTGCTACCCTGATATTTCATTTTCAAACTTAAAAAATTCCGAACTCCTGTTTGACTGTGGTGTGTGCTTGGGCTGGCTCTTGGTGCACTGTGCTGTCCTTGGTTTATTAGCTCTGGGAAGTACTGGGGTTGGAGGGACTGCAGGAAGGGTGAGATGGTGGTCTCTGTGCAGTGCCCCCTGCAGGAGATGAGCCTCCAGAGAAATACAGTAGACCTTCTGCCGAAGCTCCGGGCCATGGCCATGGCTGACAGGGCAGTGTTCGAGAAGGGCATGAAAGCCTTTGTGTCTTTCATCCAGGCTTATGCAAAGCATGAGTGCAGCCTCATCTTCCGGCTGAAGGGTAAGTGGGGGGCTCAGCCTTCCCTAACAGGTTTCTCTTTTTCTTTTGACCCAGGGTCTTTCTGAGGCCCTGGCTGGTTCCTGCTATGTAGGTCAGGCTGTCCTCAAACTCAAGAGATCTTACCTCTGCCTACCAAATACTGGGATTAAAGCTGGGTGTGGTTATAGCTGTGTGCCATCATGTCTGCCACAATCATGTTTCTTCTTAATTCTGAGTCTTTGGATGACAAGGGTTGCTTTGTCTTAATGAAATACATGGCATGTTAGGGTTAGTGTTCTTTAAACCTTTCAAAGGGAAACCTAAAATATAAAAATGAAAAAGAAAGTCCTATATAGGGCTCTGAGTAGATGCAAAATAGACTTCCATTTTTATCTTGAAAGTTTCTTTAAAAATTCTAACTAAGCCGGGCGTTGGTGGCACACACCTTTAATCCCAGCTCTGAGGAGGCAGAGGCAGGCAGACCTCTGTGAGTTTGAGGCCAGCCTGGTCTATAGTGCTAGTTTTCCAGGACAGCCTCCAAAACAATACAGAGAAACCCTGTCTTGAAAAACCAAAAAAAAAAAAAAACAAAAAACCCAGCCAAACAAAAAAACACACACACAAAGAAAAAAAACCCTAGAGATGTATTACACCATTTAATTAAGAAACATAGTGGAGAACCCTGTGCCCGACTGTGATGTGTTCTGGTGCTGATGCTAAGTTCTTATCTGCTAGATCTTGACTTTGCTAGCCTTGCTCGAGGCTTTGCCCTGCTGAGGATGCCCAGGATGCCGGAACTGAGGGGGAAGCAGTTTCCAGATTTTGTGCCCACGGACATCGATACTGACACGATTCCATTTAAAGATAAAATTAGAGAGAAACAGAGGCAGAAACTTTTGGAGCAAAAAAGAAAGGAGCGAACAGAAAATGAAGGGAGAAGAAAATTCATCAAAAATAAAGCTTGGTCGAAGCAGAAGGCCAAAAAGGAAAAGAAGAAGAAGATGAATGCAAAGCGGAAAAGAGATGAGGTAAAGTGTGATGTCCTTTATTCCTTAAACTCCACCTTACATTCTGACATTGCACTGAAAGAAACCTTGTGTTACGAGAACAGCAAGGTGGCCTGTGCTTGCACCAGGTCCAAGGCCAGCCTGGGCTGAGTGGACGCCTCACTCCCATTCATTTTGGGGGCCTGTGCTGTGTTAGCTGACCCTGGAGCTTGTAGGCCCACAGGATCAGCTGCTCTCTGGAGCCGCGGCTGACAGTCATGTTGCCTCTTCTCCACTCAGGGTTCTGATATCGATGACGAGGACATGGAGGAACTCCTCAATGACACAAGGCTCTTGAAAAAGTTTAAGAAAGGCCGAATCACAGAAGAAGAATTTGAAAAGAGGCTGCTGACAAGTGCCAAAGGAACAGTCCAGCTGACAGACCTAGGGGTCTCAGACTCGGGAGAGGACGGCTGACCTCAGAGCCTCAGGTGAAGGTCATCACACTGCTGGCCCACACTCCTGCCTTCCTGGGAGACGGTTTTGGAAAGTGGTCTGTGCAGACTGGGAGAAACCAAAAGACTGCACTCATGAGCACTACAATCCCACCAGAGTCTCACAGAAGCCTTTCCTTGAGTGTAAATGACAGATATCAGTATTTATTTTGACTAATTCTGCTTTTCTGAGGTGTTTTTTGTGCTTTATTATAGACTTTTTCTGTCTCAAAAAAAGAAAAAATTTAACTTTATTCCCAGTCACATGATCTCCCCTTACCACCTCCCACCCAAACGTTGCTCGCCCTTTGCAGCCCTGCCTGGAGCACCTGCAGAGGTGGCTATGAGGATTCTTCCCATCCTCTTCTTTGCAGTGGGATGTAGTCTAGGATGCTTTCAGAGTGATCCTCCCACCTGAGCGTCCCATGTGCCGGGGTCACAGACTGGGCTGAGAACATTTTAGAATTGACTCTGGTGCTGTTTTTATTGGCAAATATCTGAAAACCAGGAAGGGAGCCCTATCCTGAGGAAGTGCTGCTAGGCTGTTCCTGGTGTTATACCCAACTGTGCTTACACTGTTTCTGGCCTGGGGCTCCTTGTACTGATGCAATACCAAATCCAAATATTTCATATAATTTATTTGCAAAGATCCTGATTTGTTCCCATGTTTAATTTACAAAAGCTGCTTGGGACCTAAACATGTTTAAAGTAAACTCACGTTGTATAGACAGAAGTTAGGTTCAGACACTCTGTAAGCAATGTCACATGAAGGTGGCTCCTGCATTGGTACTTTTCCTATCTGGCTTGACTCTGCTGAGGAGACAGAGCCCTGAAGCCAGATGCAGTCAGCAAGTGTTTCCTGCCTTGTGTGTAAAGCACCCCGTGATGTGTCCTCAGTGGCTGTCACTGTCACTGACGCACACCAGCCTGGAGTATGGTATGAGCAGCAGGTCCCCACTCACACACTGTCCTCCTCGGCTTTGCAGCCAGTAGTCTAGCTTGTACTTTCAGACACGGTGAGTTTCTGAGAACTGGAAGGATGCTTCAGCTTGGTTCTAGAACTGGGAACAGGTTTCACAAGTGACAGCTGAGTTAAGGGTTCTCCAGGACTGCGTCACTTTCCAGTGTGAGCCCTTTGCGAATACATCTGGAAGTTCCATTCAGTTATGGCTGCTGGCTGGAGTAGACTGCTCATAGGTACAGCTTGATGAGTTCATCACTTACAGCAGATGGTGTCAGCACACCCAGGTCCGTAAACAGCAGGGTAATCAAGGACGGGGAAGTATAGTCGACCCACGGGTGTTCCTCTTTGAGGTCCTGCCCAGTCTGCATGGACTTCAGAGTGTCTGCCTTGTACTGAGGGGAGAAGAACCTGTATTAGCTGGGTTGGCCTCTTATCCAGGCTCTGTACTGCTGAGGCTGTAGCTTGAGCAGTAACTGAGTTCTTTCCAGGACTGCCTTGCGTCCAGAAACTGGCTACGTGGCAGGCTAGGAGGGATAGCATGTCATAGGGTACCATCCCACCCACGTAAGCAATTAAGAGGCCATAATGGAGGGGCCTGGCCAAGGTCATTTTTGAAAAGCAGAGATGGGAGTGAAGACCAAGAGTTGATCCCAAGGGTGGGGTTCCACCACCAACCACACAAGCTTCTCTCCACAGAGTGCTGTGTGATAGAGATTCTGCCCAGTATACGTGTCTTTGTACCTTGACACTGGGATAGCACTGGAGGAAAAGGAATGGCAAGTGAGGAACTTTCTGGAACATTACAGAGACAATGACCCTGTCAATACATAAAACTCACCTTAAACTTATCTGGGACGTCCTGCTGATTGAGCGGAAAGAGCCGTACAAACTTGAAGCTTTCTGCGACCACATAGAAGGGCTTGTTTTGGGCTTTGGCACACACGGCCATCTGGTTGGTTCCGATCTGAGAAGTCAGGGAAAACGGAAGGTGAGCACAGAGCGAGGGTAACTCTGGCACAGCAATCAGAAAGAAGGGTTTCTGTTTTGCTTTTTGTGACTGAGTATTTTTCTTTGAGGCTTACTTAGCTCAGCTGGCAGAATGCCTGTCTGGCATGTTGAAGCCGTGAGTTCAAGTCCCAGCACTACATAAATCAGGCCCTGGTGGGACACATGTAAACGCAGGAGGGATTACAGGAAGGTGAGGCAGGAGAATTAGAAATTCAAAGACATAGCCGGGCGTTGGTGGCACACGCCTTTAATTCCAGCACTCAGGAGGCAGAGGCAGGCAGATCTCTGTGAGTTCGAGGCCAGCCTGGTCTACAAAGTGAGTTCCAGGACAGCCTCCAAAGCTACAGAGAAACCCTGTCTCAAAGAAAAAAAAAAAAAAATTCAAAGACATGCTCAACTACATACTGAGTTCAAGGTCAGCATGCATTATCTTAAAAAAAAGAAAGAAGAAAGAAAAACGGGTCAGGCAGTAGTGGTGCAAGCCCTTAATCCCAGCATTCAGGAGGCAGAGGCAGGTGGATCTCTGAGTTTGAGATCAGCCTGGTCTACAGAGCTACTTCTAGCCATGGCTACACAGAGAAACCCCTGCCTTGAAACCACCGCCGGGCACCCCCTCCCCCCAAAAATTAAAACATCTTTTTCTTCTAAGATAAATAGTCCCAAAACACATGAAAAGATGCCCAGTACCACCAGCTAGGGAAAAGTAGGTGCTGGTCAGTGTCTCAGCAGTACCCTGCCCCACAGCCAATGGTGAGAAAGCCCAAGTGTCCACTATGGTATGAGCAGAGCACAGTCAGTGCTCGGTGAAGAGTGTTGAAGAACGTCAGGATCAAAACCATGAGCACTATGTGAGTCTACTTAGTTGTGGTCCCTAGAAAAGGAGAAGTCAGGACAGGACAAAGGTGTCCCAGGGCATGGAAAAAGGCTACCTGGGACAAATAGAAAAGCTTCATAAACACTCTAGCGGTAGCATGGTGTGAGTGTGCCGAAAGACCCTGAACCAAAGACAGGATGGTGCATGCATAGTGTAGCATAACTAAGATGTTTTGTCACGGACAGTTCCTAGGTAAGGAAACCCAGATGAATGTCCTCAGCCAAATGGAAACAAATCCAGAGTCATTCCACTCCAAGCTGAGACTATTTTGCCTGGATGTGGTAGTGCATGCTGGTAATCTTAGCACTTGGGGGGCAGAGACAGGAGGATCAGGTCAGCCTCGGCTACATAGTTTGAGGCTAGCCTAAGCTATACAAGACCCTGTGTCAAAACAGATCCAAACAAAAGCACCTATTGTGTGTAAACTGACAAATGTCAGAAAGGTCAGCCTTCCTCTTTGGAGGCTGACCACAGTCCTGCCATGCTATAGGGGTGTCCAGGGATAGTGTGACAGTACCTACCTTGTTAATAATTCCTCCGTTCTCAACCACTCCTTCAGCACCAACTATGACAAGATCTGCTTTCTCCATGATGTAGCTGAGGAAATGGACAAAAGGAAAAGCTGTTCATACTCTTCTTGGTTCTAGTTAATGTCCGATGACAGTAAGTTCCTTCCACAGCTGGCATTTACAGAAGGGCATTTGCCACAGACAGCTGCTGTGGCACTTTTATCAGTTACCTTGCCATGGGCATTAAAATGTTTGAGACAAGGTCTCAGTACATAGTCTTGGTTGGCCTGAACTCAAGATATCCACCTGCCCTGCCTTCCAGTGCTGATGACAGTGAGACAGTAAGAACTGCTGAAGATGTTATGAACTCACTGCTAACTTTAGTCATGAGTTTTCTTCCCAAGGAACTACTGCAACTTAGTGATAGACACTGATGACCCAGATGGACTTGTGGGTGGGACTAAGCTCCCAAAGAGCAGCCATGACTGAGGACACAGAGCGCACTGGTCACCTAACTGCTGCTGATAGCCTGACCTTTGCCTTCTACTCTGAAAACAGGAGCAGCTGAGCACTAACTACGCTCATGCCAGCAATCCCAGCACGGGATGCTGAGGTCTGGGCCAGTCTGGGCTACAGGAGCCTGTCTCAGAAACAAGACCCCAGCCACTCCCATGCACGAACCCAGATCCAATGCTGGGCACACAGTCCATCTCCTGCACTCTCACGACCTTGTGATAACCCTGGTGCTGCAGAGTGGCTGCCTATTTGTTAAGAGAGACATGCTACCCAGTCAGATTGTATGGACGGGATTTAACCTCCAATTTGAAAGCCCTGGTTGGAGCCAACACACATAAATGGGCGAGTCACACTTACCCAACAGCAGCATCCAGCACCACAGTGACAGGGACATTGAGGTGGCAGAGGGCTTTGGCCATTTTCTTCCTGAAGGTGGCATGAGAACATTAAAGTTCAAGAAAGTCCAACAGTGATGCCTGATGAATTAACTTGATTTAGATAGAGATGTCCTGTGATCTAAGTGGCTTAATGAGAACCCAAGTTCTTTAATTTTTCATCTTTATTGTTAAGATCTAGATGTACGTGGTAGTTTGAGTGTAACTGGCCCCATAAGCTCAGAAAGAGTAGCACTAGAGAAAGTGTGGCTTTGTTCTAGTAGGCATGGCCTTGTTGGAGGAAGTGGGTCACAGTCTACTTCCTGTTGCCTTCTGGTCAATATGCAGCCAGCACCATGTCTGCCTGTCTGCTGCCATGCTCACCATGGCGATAATAGACTGAACCTCTGAAACTGAAAACAAGCCACCACAATTAAATGTTTCCCTAATAAGAGCTGCTGTGATCATGGTGTCTCTTCATAGCACTAGAAACCTGAACTAAGACAATGTGAATAGGAGGTATTTTGCCTGATGTATCAGACATTTCACATGTATGCCTGGTGTCTGAGGAGGACAGAATAGGGCATAGGATCCCCTAGAAATGGGTTGTGAACCACCATTTGAGTAGCAGGAATTGAACCCAGATCCTCTGCAAGAGCAGTAAGTGCTCTTAACTAGTGAGCCATCATTAGTTACTTTCTTTCTTTTGGTTTTTTTGAGATAGGGTTTCTCTGTGTAGCCCTGGCTGTTCTAGAACTCACTCTGTAGATCAGGCTGGCCTTGAACTCAAGATCCGCCTGCTTCTGCCTCTCAAATGCTAGGACTAAAGGTGTGCATCAATTGCCTGGCTTATCACCAGTTTCTTAAACTACAGAGTTGGAGGTTCAGCTCTGGGGTGCCTGACTAGCATGTGTAGGACCCCAATTCATCCCTTAGCACTACAAAGAAGACAAAGAAAAACTATACTCTTAAAGGAGCCTGGGTAATGAAGCCAACTGATAACAAAGTTTGCTTTTTGTGTTTTCTGGAGATGGTTTTGTCAATCACCAACTTTTAAAAGCTTTTCATACAGTCTCCTGCTGTTCCTGATTTAATTACTTAAAGAAAGACCATTAAGGGCTGGAGAGATGGCTCAGAGGTTAAGAGCACTGGCTGCTCTTCCAGAGGTCCTGAGTTCAAATCCCAGTAACCACATGGTGGCTCACAACCATCCATAATGAGATCTGGTGCCCTCTTCTGGCCTGCAGACACAACACTGTATATGTAATAAATAATAATAATAATAAAGGCTGTTAGAAAATTGAAAAAGAAACAAAAAAGCTACAGCCTGCACTGTGCCCCTGCAAACCCACAGGGCCTTTCCTCCCAGGGTCAGAACAGTTATGAACGGGTCCAAGGCAATGCTGACTCACTGGCCAGTGGCAAGATACTTGCCCGGATAAATCAGGCTGAGACTCCGTGATATATACGCTGAACCGCTTCTTGGCTGCCACTGCTTCTTCCAGGACCCTCAGGACGACTCTGGAGTAGGCATGAGTCAAAATTCTCTATGGAACAAGAAACCTCCATCAGAGGTGTAAGTGCCAACCAGCCATTGCCTGCATTGCCCGCACCATCACATGACACATGCTTGGCACTGGAAGCTCCTGTATGTTACAAATCAACTAAGCCCGAGGGTGACTCTGACTGTCCACTGAAGTTCAAGCCCACTGAGCAGTTCAACACTGCCCAAGGAGAGCACACATCTCCCCAGCAGAACACAGCAGCCAGTACATCTAAAGGCCCAGGAGGAGACAGTAAGAGAGAGCTTGCATTCGCAGGCTTACAGCTGCCAGGAAGGGTAGGTAACAATGGCCCAACGAGGTCACTGCCGGTGGAAGGACAAGGGAAACTGGGCTTTAGGTGCCTCTTCTGTCCCACTGTCACAGATCCACCTGATTTTAATAGAAGAGGTAAAAATCTAATAAATGTCTAACAACCATATACAAGTTAAGCTAAGACATTTTCCAGAATTGACAAGCACTGTGGGGTGAATACAGCTGTCTGTGGTGCAGATGATGACTTGTGGACTCCCACACAGCATCCTCTAGGATGCAGGGCAAGGTGGTGGACATGGCTCACTAGAATCTCAGGTGCTCAGGCCTCACCTTCATTTAACAGGCCCAAGGGTGGTCTGCCCGCAGGTTCAAGACTCAGCAGCTCTGCTTTTGACCCAGGTTAAGAGCTGCGGGTGGTGCAGGCAAGAAACCCACACCAAGGCTGCACGCTGAGCCTCCACCTGGCCCAGGTCTGTTTGACACTGCCATTAACACAAACCCAACCCCGCCTCCCAGTGAGTCACGTATTTAACAGCATACTTCAAAGGTGGGAAATGCAGTAAAGCCAAGGGCAACATCTAAGAGCCACGATGCAAGTAATACAGGCATGGTTTGTGGAGGCTGAGGTGGTGGGAGGCTGTGCAAAAGCTAAGAAAACATAAAGGCTTTATGACCTGGTGGAGCGGACAAGTTAGAGACAGGCTGAACTTGCCATTCCTCACTTGACTAGGGACAGGTCACAGCTCCACCCAGTATTGATATTGGCTCAAATGCATGGCAGCCACCATGGTAACAGATGGTCTGGGCAGCCTCATTTCAGATTAGAGGACTAACTACAAACCCAATCGTAAAAACACCTTTTTTAGCTGGGCGTTGGTGGCGCACGCCTTTAATCCCAGCACTCGGGAGGCAGAGGCAGGCGGATCTCTGTAAATTCGAGACTAGCCTGGACTACCAAGGGAGTTCCAGGACAGCCTCCAAAGCCACAGAGAAACCCTGTCTCGGAAAAAACAAAAAAAACCCAAAAAAACAAAAAAACCCAAAAAAACAAAAAAACACCTTTTTTTTTGTTTTCAGAGACAGGGTTTCTCTGTGTAGCTTTGATCCTCCAACTCACAGAGATCCACCCGCCTCTGCCTCCTGAGTGCTGGGATTAAAGATGTGTGCTACCACTGCCCAGCTATAAATCACTTTTTCTTTAAAGATTTATTTATTATGTATACAGTGATGTATCCCTGCATGCCAGAAGAGGGCATCAGATCTTATTACAGATGGTTGTGAGCCACCATGTGGTTGCTGGGAATTGAACTCAGGACCTCTGGAAGAACAGCCAGTGCTCTTAACCTCGGAGCCATCTCTCCAGCCCTAAAAACACTTCTTTTGAGCAGGTGAAATGGCTCAGTAGGTAAGAGTGTTTGTCATTAACCCCAATGACCCAAGTTTGATCCTCAGATCCTACACAGTGGACAGAGCCAACTCCTCTGACCTCCACACACTGTGGCACCTGTGCATACCCACACACACCCCTAATAAAGAAATAAATGTAAGTAAAAATACTTCTTAGAAAAATAGCTTATTAAGAGGCTATTGGTGTCGTCTAGTGGTAGAGCATGCCTAGCTTGCTTGAGGCCTTTGATTCGTCCTCACCTCCACAAAAAAGAAAAAATTAAAATCAGGACTCATTTATGTTGGTCCTATGCTCTTCTCCCATTCATGGCGATAGGCCCCTATAGTACCTGTGTTTACAGAGCACTGGCTACACATGGCATCTCATTTATGCCTCACCAAGCTGGTCAGCAGCTGCTGTCCTTATTAACAGACAAGAAAACTGCAGGACAGAGAAGTGTCTTGTCCATGGGCACAGCAGTAGGTGGCAGAGTCAGGATTTCGGCAGAGTCAGGATTTCAGGCCCCTCAGCCTGACTCCAAAGCTTCTGCTTCTAGGAGCACAGGGGAGCCATCGACTCACCGCCCCATCTTTGATGAAGGTATGGCACAGGTCCGCAATTTTGTTCCTTGACAAGGATATTCTCCTGAGGAAAAGCTCCCCTCTCTCAATCATGATCTTCTTACACTTGGAGTAGTCCTGGGGAGAAAAGAGGAAAATGGAGGTGGGAGATCCCAGGAAAGCTGACAGGGTCTGTAGACAAACAGAGACGGGGGAGGGCTCCTGAGGGAGGGCGGGGCTTACAGAGTACTCCAGGGAGGTGAGGCTGATGAAGCGAAGGAAGAGCTCTCCACCAGAGGACACGGCCACGGAGGAGTCCACACCGCACAGGGTTTCTATGGCACTGGTGAGATTCGCTCTCAGGCCTTGGAGTGTCTCTCCTGCAATAATGAAGTGGGGTACCACTACCACCCAGCAACACCAGAATTTATCCTGGAACATTCTCTATAGCATGTGCACAGAATCTAGGTTAAGCTAGGCGCTTGGTACTCATCTATAAAGCTAAATTATTGCTATAATTTAAGCCTTTTGGCTAAGGCTGTATTGTTGACTCTTGATTTCCGGCATATTCTGTAGGAGGATGGGAACCCTTTAGGTAACAGCCTGAGGGCTCCCTCCAGGCTGAAAGGGCGGATATGGAGACAGAAGCTGAGCTTGAGACTGAAGGCAGACACGCATGTCTCCCTGTCCACATTCCTACAAGTCATCTGAAGATGCCCTAAGGCCCAGACCATTCAAAGCGGACTCTTCATACCTTTGTCTCTCTTCAAGAACTCCAGCAAAGTCCGGATGGCAGCCACTGCTGAGGCCATGTTAGGATCGCCTTTCATCTGAGACTTGAAGTATTCAATTAACTCTAAGAAGAGAGGAAAAAATTGGGTTATCACAGGAACTTAGCAAGAGGAGGCCGGGGCACTTGGTAATAACTGCTGACCTCAAGAATAAGAAGCAGAAACTTTTTGTTGTTGTTGTTAAGTGACATTTAAAGTTACAGGGCACATTAAACACTGACGGGGATAGAGAATATGCGTACTGTTGGCAGGGTCACGTCGCGTTCATATTTTAAACAAGCTATTGGTGTGCAAGGCAGAGAACTTAGGGACCAAGCTAGTAGTCTAGGGAATCCTCACAATCACTTTATTCATTCCCCCCGCGGCCTTCCGAGCAGTCTACAGACGTTAACTCATGTGCATAATGCAATCGTAAACATGCTTACAGTTCTATCTAGTTCACTTTTCCATTAAAGTCAGTGTGTTCGTTTGCTTTTCCACTTAACAAAAACGTTCTGAGAACCATGATGGGCAAGCAAGCCAAAGATGCCTTATTCCTTCAGGTAGGGCAACGTGTCCTCCTCCTGGACACCTGCGGAGGCCGTCCCCCGGACAGCGTGTGCCGAAGTCAGTGTGCGAGCGTCCGAGAGGTCCAGACCTCGGCACAAAGAGCTGTGACAGCAGGCAGCGGATCGAGCCCGGAATGCCCGTCTGTCCCCGCCGCTCTGGGCACCCACCCACTCACCGTGGTCCTCCATCGCTCCCTCGCGCACCCCGCAACCGCGCCGGCAGCAAGCCACAGGTTGACAGTGTGTCGCACGCTTCACGCATCACTTCCGTCGCCTCGACATAGTCGCTGACGTCACTCGCGAGCGACAGAAGTTGGCGTGCGCACGGCGAACCGTGGGCGGCTCTTCACCGAGGAGGCATAGGGGCGCCATGGCCGCAGACGGTGAGGGTGGCACGGGCTGGAACGCGGAGCAGGGCTGGGAGGGACACGTTTGGTCTTTAGACGGGCAGCCGGTGTGTTCGTCCATTCACTCAGCAATTTCATTTTTGAGACTGGGTGTCACGTAGAACTCGCTGAAGGATGGCCTTGAACTCTTGATCCGCCAGCCTGCTTTAGAAAGCTGGGAATTACAGGCGTGCCCGACCAGGCTCGATTTTATGTGGTGCTCAGATCTTTGTGCATTCCCAGTAGGCGGTCTACCAATTGAGCCACATCCCCAGCCCTAATTATTTTTTTTATGTGGGCGCTCGCTCGACCTGCCTTAGCCTTCCGAGTTCTGTCATTACAGGCCTGCATTAGCATGCCCAGTGTGTCATTCAGCGAATACTGGAATTGCCCCCTCTGCATTGGACAATATTTTCCAAACTGGAGAGTATAGCACAGAACTCAACACAGGGGACTTTTGAGTGTGTGGTGTCTTATGGTCGAGAGAGGCAGTTGACAAGTGAAATTAATTCCAAGAGGTCACCAGGGCCGTGAAGACAAATGTGTGGCAACTCAGCTCAAGAGGACTGTGTTTCGTTAGGAGTCCGGGAAAGATGGAGATACTAGAACTGTGGTTTTAGCAACGTTATGAAGTTCATTTTAAGTACAAACATCCCGGGAGGTGAAACTTAGAAGAGCAAACTGGGCGGTGGGAGCAGAGAGGATGGTGGGAGGCGCTTACTCATACACTGAGCTACTAGTTACAGCTTTCAAACTACATCTCCTCCCAAAGATTCTTGCATTTGCTTGTGTCGTATCAGTGTGTGTGTGTGTGTGCTCTAGCATGCTCATGGAGGTCAGTGGACAAATTGTGGGACCGGTTCTCTTTGTTTGTTTGTTTGTTTTTTACGAGACAGGGTTTCTCTGTATTGTTTTGGAGGCTGTCGGACCAGCTCGGCCTGTAATTCACAGAGATCCGCCTGCCTCTGCCTCCCTAGTGCTGGGATTAAAGGCGTGCGCCACCACCGCTGGGCGGGACGGGTTCTCTTATTGATCAATTGGGTCTCAGGGATGGAGCTCAGTCGGGCTTGTCAGCATTGCTTTTACCAGCTGAGCCCTCTCACTGGCCCAGAATTACTTGGATTGATAACATTAGACACATCACTTTGACTTCTGTGTGAAAAATGGATTGTGGAGGGCCAGAGAGGTGCACCCAACAGTCAGAGCTGTTGCTCAGACCTGTATGAGAAAGGCCAGCCTGGCAGGGCTTGTCAGCCAGGGGGGCGGAGGCTGAAGGAAATTGGCAGAGATGTTTCATGTGCACATTTCTGACAGGCAACACATTGGTTTTCTTTCTCAAGCTTCTGGGTACTAGCAAGGAAGTGACAGTAAGTAGGATTTGGTTTTGCAGAAACTGGAGGTGCAGGATGATTCTTAAGAAGGAGCAGGGGCTGCAGGGAGGAAGGTAGGAGGCAATAAATTGGGTACTGCCTTGTGCTTATCACAGGAGCACCCAGGCTTTTCATGACAGCAGGCACTGGCAAGATTGCTTTGTCCCGTGAAAGTGTAGGCTCTTGGCTGGGTGTGGTGCCAGATGCCTGTAATGTCAGATACTCAAAGAGGTAGGAGGTTACCAAGTTCAAGCCTGAACAATTTTTCTTTTTCGAGACAAGGTTTCTCTGTGTAACAGCCCTAGCTGTCCTGGAACTCGCTCTGTAGACCAGGCTGGCCTCAAACTCACAGAGATCCACCTGTTTCTGCCTTCTGAGGGCTGGGATTAAAGATGTGAGCCACCACCACCCTGCCAATAAAATATTCTTGATCACAACTGGCTTGGCTGCTTTATAATGGGTCATCCTGGCTGCTCTTGGGCCAACCTAGTTTGCTCATGGGTCCCTAGTCTCCTATTACTGGAGATTCCAGGTTAAGTCAGTGTATATTTGTATTCACCATGTGTCAGGAGCAGAGGGTTAGCCTGCCCCACCCACAGCCTAGCACTTGTAATGCTGTGGGGCAGGTGAGAGCTGAATAAGGTCTGCCCAGCTCCCCAACCCTGGTAGGCCTGCACCAGACTGGTTTTGAACTCACAGAGGTCCATCTGCCTTCCAAGTGTTGGGATTGAAGACAATACACCATCATTCCCAGCCTTTAAAATTAAAATTTTTTTCCGTGTGTGTGTTTACTAGTGGGCAGCTTTGTTGAGTCAGGTCTCACCTAACCATGTGCATTCCAGGAATTGAACTCAGATCATCAGGCATGGCTGTAGGTGCCTTTACACCTCTGACCCCTGTCTTCTTTTTTAAAATGAGATGCCACCTATCAACCCAAGGACTTCCCCAGTACTAGGCAAGCACGCTATTATTCAGCTGTGGCCTCAGCCCTTAACCTTTAAGGGAACTTGGCCCTTTGGTGAGCTCGTGATCCATCAGAGGATGATAACCATTCGAAGGCCTCTAGTTGATTGATTGCCCCTCAGGAATGTTATCTATTTCATGAGGCTGACATTTTAAAATGTTACTCTTGTTCCTGTTTGCAGAAGATGAGTTGAATCTTCTGGTTATCGTAGTTGACACCAACCCGATTTGGTGGGGAAAGCAAGCATTAAAAGGATCTCAGGTAAGATGGCTTGAACCTTCCGGTGATTCTCCATAGCTCCTGTGTGTCTGTGTGCCTCCCACCGCCCTTCGAGCAGGGTTGTCTTTAGAAGCTGCTTGTGGAGGCCCTGGTCCAATCCTAGCACTCATGTGGAGGCAGGCCGATCACCAGAGCTCAAGCCCATCTTTGGCTATCTGGGCTGCAGACACTGTCAGAAAAGGAAAGCTGTGAGTGTGTGAAAGCCACCAGTTGCACTGTTGAGACCAGGGAGTTACTAGAGCAGGGAAGTTGTGTAACTGGCCCACAGTTCCTTCTTGGAACACACATGGAGTCCTCAGACCTGTTGACCGTCAGCCCTGCTTCCCCCACAGGTGCAGGCAACCATTGATTGCCTCCGGCCTGTTTTGCTTTTCTAAACATATGTCTATCGTAAGAGTAGGATTTTTTTGTTATATATTTACCTGGGGTGGTGGGGGTATGGTGTGCCACGGCACTTATGTGGAGGTCAGTGAACAACTTTCAGGTGTCTGTTTTTTGCTCTAATCATTGTGGGCTCTGGGGGATGAACCTGGGTCATCAGGCTTGGTGGGATGTTCCTTTAACCATTGAGCTATCCCACCAGACTTTGTCTGTGAAGTTTTGAGATAGGGTCACCCTTTTGGCTTTTTTTTTTTTTTTTTTTTTTTTTGGTTTTTCGAGACAGAGTTTCTCTGTGGCTTTGGAGGCTGTCCTGGAATTAGCTCTTGTAGACCAGGCTGGTCTCGAACAGAGATCCTCCTGCCTCTGCCTCCCGAGTGCTGGGATTAAAGGTGTGCGCCACCAACGCCCGGCGGCTTTTTTTTTTTTAACATTTATTTTTTTGTTTGTGTATGTGTGTGGATGCTTGCATGCTTGTAGAGGTCTGAAGTTAGTTTGCTCCTCCCACCAAGTGGGTCCCAGGCATCACGTTTCTTATATTTGCTGCGTCATCTCATTGGCCCAGGTTTTGAATTTTGATGAAACACAGTTTATGTATTAAAACAAAACAAACAAGATTGTGCTTTTTTTTTTTTTTTAACTTTTTCAGTGCAGAAACTCAGGTATCCCAGGCTGGCCTTGGCATGCTGTACAGCCTGTGAATGGTCTTGAACTCCTGGTCCAGCTGCCTCTGTCTCCTATGTTCAAGGCTTCCTGGGTTACATTGTGGCCCTACGTGTAATGCCAGTATTTGAGAAATAATGTTCTAACCTATAAATGATTTGTCTCAGGTACTGTTCTCCAGGTTTTAGGAGAGGTAAAGCTGAGGAAAATTTCAGTGTTGAATCATTGTGTCTGATGTCAGGACTATCTGTACACAGTGGCACATGTCATGACATGGGGAGGTAGAGACAGGTGAATTGTTGGACTCAGTGAACATCAGGCCACCCAGGGGAAGACCCTTCCTTAAACACACCACAGTATATAAGTAAATAAAACTAAGTACTAAATAATTGGTTTTTCAGTGACGTCTGCATCAGGGGATGACTTGTTTTTCTTGTGTTTGTCAGTTTACTTTATCCAAGTGCATGGATGCTGTGATGGTGCTCGCAAATTCCCACCTGTTCATGCACCGCTCCAACCAGCTGGCTGTGATAGCCAGTCACATTCAGGAAAGGTAGGAGCCAGTGCTCTGCTGTGGGAGGCTGCTTCCCAGTTCCGTGGCAGCTTCATACATGTGTGTAGTACATTCTGGTTACTCTGCCCTGTCAGTCGATTCTTATACCCGGGGAAGAACGGCAGACTTGGAGACTTCTTCGGAGACCCTGGCAACCCCCTTCCTGACTGCAATCCCTCTGGGAGTAAAGACGGCAAATATGAGCTGTTGACAGCCGCAAATGACGTGATCGCTGAGGAGATCAAAGATCTGATGACCAAGGGTGAGAGCCTGGCTGTTGTCACTGTCATCTCTCTGTAGTGGTAATTTGCTGTATGTTTTTAAAGTGTACGGTTTTTATTAACTGTTTTGAGGATTTCATACATGCCTACGATACATTTTGGTGATATTCGCCAACCCCATTCTTCTTCCTAACTCTTATCTTCTCACCCTCTCCCAAACATGTGTCCATTATTTATTTATTTATTTTACATAATCTGGCTAGGGTTACAAATGCCTTTGATCTCAGCATTCAGGAGGCAGAGGCAGGCAGGCCTCTTAGGGGTTCCAGGACAGCCTGGTCTACATATCCAGTTCCAGGACATCCAGGACTATCTAGAGAGATTTTTGTCTTAAAAAACAAAAAGCTTAGACTGCCCATATACTCATAGGTATGGACCACACCCTTAAGAAAAGCCAAGCTCTCCATACCAGGCTATCAGTTGTTAATGGGTCCTCGACCAGGAGAGGCTCATGAGTCCCTCTGTCTCAGTTATGTTTCTATTGCTGTGATAAGACACTCTGACCGCCGGGCGTTGGTGGCACACGCCTTTAATCCCAGCACTCGGGAGGCAGAGGCAGGCGGATCTCTGTGAGTTCGAGACCAGCCTGGACTACCAAGCGAGTTCCAGGACAGCCTCCAAAGCCACAGAGAAACCCTGTCTCGAAAAACCAAAAAAAAAAAAAAAAAAAAAAAAAAGACACTCTGACCAGGGCAACTAACAAAACATTTAATTTCAGATTCGTGGTTCTGGAAGGTAGTAGAACCCATGGCCTTCATGGTGGGGAACATAGTGGCAGGCAGGCAGGCTGGCTTGGTGCTAGAGCAGTAGCTGAGAATTTACATCTAATCCAAAAGCACAGACTTGTGAGAGAGAGCTAACAGGGAATGGCTTGAGCTTTTGAAACCATAAAGTCCACCCTGAGTGACACTTCTCCAACAAAGCCATACTTCCCAATCCTCCCTTCCCAAACAGTTCCTCCAACCGGGGAACCAAAATTCAAATGTCTGAGCATGTGGCAGCCATTCTCATCCAAGTCACCACACCCTCCTGTGTTGTCATTTTAAAAGTCAAAAGTGCCTTTCCCAGCTTGGGGCTCTAGTATCCTTGTAACCTGCCGACGTTTTCAGCCTTTGGTCTGCAGCAGTCACCTGGAAGAAAAAGGAAATCTAGAGTTGAGAAGGGGTTGACAGTATCCCAGGGCTGGGACGCACATGTGGGCCCCATGGTCTCAGCCGATGGAAACTGGTCAACAATTAGAGTATGGCGATGGGCACGCAGCTGTAAACTTGAAAAAGTAAGTGAGCTCTAGTAGTGGAGACATGGCTGAGAAGTTAACAGCACTTGCTGCTATCAGAGAGGACCCAGGTTTGGTGCACAGCACCTCCTCTAACTCCAGCTCCAGAGAAGCCAGTACCCTCTTTGAGCCTCTGCAGGCTTCGTGCACACGTGTGTACACACACACACATAGAGTCAAAAACAAAACGAAAACATTGAGTTCCAAGGCAGTGATTTTTTTTTTGGAGACTGAATCTCCCTGTGTAGCCCTGGCTGTCTTGGAGCTTGCTGTGTAGACCAGGCTGGCCTCAAACTCACAGATAGCTGCCTGCCTCCGCCTCCAGCATGGTGGGATTAAAGGTGTACACCACACCTGGCTCTGTTTTAACTGTTGAGTGTGCAGATGAGTAGCTAGGTGTGTAACACTGTTTCAGAGACATCCTACCGTCCATCTCAACCTTATCCTAAATGAAACTCCGTGTCCTTTATTTTTTTGCCTTTTGGGGTGGTGTATTTTACTTGTATGGATGTTTTGGCAGCATGTGTGCCTATGCACCATGTGTGTGCCTGGTTTTTGTGGAGACCAGAAGAGGATATCAGATCTCCTGGAACTGGTGTTATAGATGGTTGTGAGCCACCACGTGGATGCCGGGCCTTGGACCTAGGTCCTCTAGAAGAATATCCAGAGCTCTTCAGTCACCTCTCCCAGTCCCTCAACTCCCATCTCTGCCCCTCCTTCCCCTAACTAATTTTACATGGGACACCTTGAAAAGAGACATGGAGTAGCTTACTTGGGCTTAATGATTACTGGTCTCTGTGTTTTGAGATCCACTTTGAACATGTCTTTTTATTTAGGAATACTTGAGTTTCAAAACGACTTCATGTGAGGGCCGGAGAAATGGCTCAGTGGTTAAGAGCTCTGGCTATTCTTCCTTAGAACCTGGGTACAATTCCCAGCACCCACATGACGGACGGCTCATACCTGTTTGTAACTCCAAGATCTGACACCTTCACAAGACATACCGATGCAAATGAAAAGTAAATTATTAAAAAGATTGACTTCATTTGTAAAAAGACTCAGACGTTCCCCTTTCGTGCTCTTTAACATCTGCAGGTGACTTAAAGGGCCAGCACACAGAGACACTGCTAGCAGGATCCCTCGCCAAAGCCCTCTGCTGTATCCTTGTGCGGGCGCGTTCTCAAACAGTCTCGTCGTAAGGGTGTTTACTGGTGGCTTCTCCTGCACCTGGCTCCCCAGCACTCTGTGCAGCTGCTCCTTTAGCCTTCAGGGTGTTCCCATGGCCATCTGAGGAGCCTGGTGCTGCTTCCGGTGAGGTCAAAAGAGGGCATTAACTCCCCTAAAACTGGAGTCAAAGGTGGTTGTGACCCACCAAGTGGAACCAAGCCTGGGGCCTCTGCATCAGCGGCCGGTGCTGTGGTCTGCTGAGCCACCTCTCCAGCTTCTTCCTCTCCTAGCCTGGTGCTTGCTTTGCTCTTATTCCTCGGTTGACATCTGCAGTACTGATGTTAAAAGCTGCTTACTGGCCTCACAGCTTAATTAGTGAGTGGTGAAGAGGCAAATCAAACTCAGGGGCTTCACTTCTAATAATTTAGAAATAAAGGGACCCGATCCTCACTCAGCCCCTGCTGTAGCAGCCATGACAGGCTACAGAAGAGACACGTAGGCCTCTGGTACAAGGAAACTCCAGATCCTCTGGCTTCCCAGAGCCTAGGGCCAAAAGTGATCACAAAGAAACTCCAGATGCCCTCCCCCACACCCCCAGCCTCCTAGATACTTGGTTCCTGGGAACTGTTAAGGCAGTCATCCACAGCTTGCTGATTATTTGGGGTGTAGGTACTTTTACCCACCTCACAAGTGGAGCTCTGTAGGTGAGCAGGTGACCTGTCTGAAGCATAGGGTAGCCAGACTCTTCCCAGCACCTGATGTCATGTGACATGGGCTCTCAGCCTTGCTTTTGTGAATAGTATCAAGTACTATTTACATCCTGGAGTTTTTATTCAGTTGTCCAGATCCTCTTTGTGTGGCTTTCAAATTCATCATCTCACTGGATGGACTGACTGGTTTGGGCGTGGCCCCAGCATTGGAATCTAGGATGGTGGACAGTCAGGTGTTCATACTGTGGTCTTCACATACAGAGGTCATGCTTTCCTTGGTGAGTACAAAATGGGCAACAAAACCCAAGCCCAGCCACATGGCTGTCATGGCAGAAGATGGGAGGGGCTGATTTAAAATCTGAAGGTCTGTTTTCCTGTTAGTGGAGACGTTTGTGGAGCAGAGTTTTTATTCTCCTTAATGTCAATGAATGCAGACATTCACAGAATGAACAAGGCAGTTAAAGGTGGGAACTGATTGTTTTGCAACTATCACTCTTTAATTTTAGTGCTGCCTTTTAAGCTATCTTGTTTGTTAAATTATAATGTTTTTATGTCTTTATAGATAACCAGGAGATGAAATCAAGGATATTGGTAAGAGTATATACAACTTACGTATAACTGCAGACAGCTGGAAAACATGGGGATGGATCCTGGCATGGTATCACATGCACTGAATTCCAGCTCTGGGGAGGGAGACACAGACTGGACTCTGTGAGTTGAAGGACAATGTGATCTACATATTGAGTTCTAGGTCATCCAGGGCTGCATAGTAAGACCCTGTCTCACAAAGGCATCTGGAAAACCATTTTCAACATTGCTACTTCTATAGATAATTAATATTTCTAAAATGAAGAGCTCTTGGGCCAGTAAGATGTCTCAGTCAGTCAGTCAGTGAAGGTGCCTGGTCGAAGCCTGCTGACTTGACTTTAGTCCCCAGGACCCTAGATGTAAGGAGAGACCTAACTCCCATAGTTGTCCCCTGGCCTCCCAGTGTGTGCTGGACACTCTGGACAGATGCCCATCAGTCTAACAAGGACTGGAAAAGACCTGTTGTCACCTTACACTTCAGGGGTTTAATTAGTACTAAGTAGGAAGATGAACTGGAAAAGTGGTACTGCCTGTGGCTTGCAGTAGGTCATGTCACACTGAGTCCTGGGAAGTACTTGAGATCTAACAGCTGTGTTTGCAGGTGATCAAGGCTGCAGAGGACAGTGCGCTACAGTACATGAACTTCATGAATGTCATCTTCGCTGCTCAGAAGCAGGTGAGGCATAAGCCTTCCTAATTCCCGAAAGAAATAATCAGAGGCCGAGGGTGGAGGTACACACCTCTTTCAGTTTGAGTCCAGCCTGGTCTATATGTAGGGTTCCAGGACAGCTTCAGGGCTAAGTAGAGAGATCCCATCTTAAAAAGAAAAATGTGATCACTGTTGTTCTTGCATAGTGGTGTTCTGGCTAAAGAGCCCATTAGTGGATTGGGGGTTCAGAATTCACACTGGGTACCTGTCATTTTTCTGTTTAGGGTCCTGGGTCCCTGTGACTGGGCAGTGTTCTCAGAGCTATGCACTCAAGCTTGATTTTGTGTTGGGTGTCTTGGTAGTCATCCTGTTAGCCCACATGTACCTAAGAATCTCTGGGTTGGCAGTTTGATACAACAACCCTCAGCTTCTTCCCTCCCCTCCCCTCCCCTCCCCTCCCCTCCCCTCCCCTCCCCTCCCCTCCCCTCACTTCTTCTTTCACATGTGTGGCAAACTCTACATGACCCGAGTGTCCCCGGTCTCTTCTCGTTTTGTATTGAGACAGGCTCTTGCTTACCTGCCCAGGCTGGCATGAGCTCTCTGTAACCCAAACAAGCCTGGAACTTGAGAAGTGCCCTGCCCTGTCAGTGCTAGGTAGCTAGGATAACAGGTGTGTACCATTCTGCCTCACAGTGTCTCTCTTTTTATTGTAGTGAGGCATGTACTTTGTAGGTAACTGAGATGTTCAGATAACTTGGAATATTATCTTCTTTCTCTGTTTTGTTTTGGTTTTGTGTTTTAAGTGTTTTGCCTGCATGTATAGATATGCGACATGTGCATTCCTGGTGCCTGTGGAAGCCAGGAGAGGGTGTCAGATCCTGTGGAACTAGAGTTACAGATGGTTGTGAGATAGGATCTGGGTGCTGGGAATTGAGCCAGGGTCCTCTGGAAGAGCAGCCAGTGTTTTCAACCACTGCTCCATCTCTCCAGCCCCCTTCTCTAAACCTCAGTTCAAACATACAGCACCACTAGAGCTCTGCATTATCTTCAGCATGGAGAATGTTGCTGTGAAAAGGGGTCAGGCTTTGGAGACAGGAGTTAGGACCTGTACTGGATGTGTCAGATGCCAAATATACCTCAGTGTCCACCTTACAGCATCGCTGTACACGTAAACGGACCCATTTTAGGAATAGGGTCTGGCTGCACAAAATAGGACACATCTGTACCAATGCTCGGGAGGCAGAGGCAGGAGGATTAGAACAAGTTCCATTCCAGTCTAGACTACAGAGTTGAGACCCTGTTCAAAAAGATGATACAGGAGAACAGAGTCCAGCAAGTTTGAACCAGCCATAACCATTGCTGTGTTTGAAATGCTCCTTTCAGAACATTCTCATTGACGCCTGCGTCCTAGACTCGGATTCAGGGCTCCTCCAACAGGTATGTTTCCAAGGAGTGCGTGGCAGTAGCCAGGCTTTTGGACGGGAACAGTCTGTGGATAGACTTGTAAGGATGGTAATGCCTTTGCCAGGCATGGTGACACACTCCAGCAATCCCAGAAGTCAGGAAACTGAGGCAGGAGGATCATGAAATTTGAGGATAGCCTCCTGGGCTACCAAGTAAGACTGCAGAGACAGAGTGTATCTTGGTTATATTGAATTTAATGTGTAATTAAAATGGATTTTTATCTGTTTCTGGTTATTTGTCTTGAAACAGAATCCCACTATTGTAGCTGTAGCTGAACCTGAAACTCACAGAGGTCTACCTGTTTCTGCCTGTGTGAAGATTAAAAATGTGTGACACCATGCTTCCCTCCTTAAAATTTACTAGGAAATAATTTAATTTTTAAGGAAAATGTAAATTCTATACATTGCATCATATATGTCTTGGCAATTACTGTTAGATGTTATAGTTGTACTTTCTCGTCAGCACCGCTAGTCTGTAGATAATGACATGGTATCTTAGAAGACTTGTTCCTAACTAGCTCTTATAACTTAAATTAACCCATTTATCGTAATCTATGTTCTGCCACGTGGTATTACCTCATCTTGGTACTGCCCATCCTGCTTCCCCAGTCTGGCTGGCAATTCTGCCTTTCTACTTCCCAGAGTTGTCTCTGCCCAGAAGTCCTGCTATCCTCTCCTGCCTAGCTGTGGGCTGCTCAGCTTTTTAATTACACCACTCACGGCAGCACATCTTCCCACAGTGTACTAATATCCACAAGACGTTGCTTTGGGGTGGGAATGGGGTGGTAAGCCCATTCATGACAGTTTTCCTGCTTTAGATACTGCTTTTGGGGAGAAGTTTGAAACTGAATCTTTGAATTTTACCAGAATGGTGAGGAGGGTAAAAGTACCCACACCCCAAATAATCAGCAAGCTGTGGATGACTGCCTTTGTGGGCCAGTGAATTACTCAGTGGCTAACTTTGCCTGTACCCAAAGCTGATGTCTTGAGTTACATTCCTGGGATCCATGAGCTGGAAGGAGAGGTCGACTGCCTCACATTTTCCTCTGGTCTCCACCTAGAATCTGTGCTGGAGAAAAACTGGCTGCAGAAAGCACACACACACACACACACACACACACACACACACACACACACACACACACACACACACACACACACACAAATAATACATGTAAAGAAAATTGTTACCATCCCTTCCCCATTCAACATTTCCTTAAAAAAGTGTGTCCTTGAAGATCAGCCGGCCAGATAGGGGTGGGGGTAGAGAGACCAGCCTTGGGTCTAGGCCGGTGCTTGGGCTGAGGGAAGGGGAGAAGGCACGGGTCTGAGAGTGCTGGGGTGGCTGTTGCTTAGGCTCAGCTTGACAGTATTTTTGGGGTTTCTCTGTGTAGTCCTGGCTGTTCTGGAACTGGCTCTGTAGACCAGGCTGACCTCAAACTCACAGAGATCCGACTTCCTCTGTGCCCCCCCCCCCACCAAGTGCTAGGGTAGGCATGCACCACCAGACCCGTCTTGTTTTTTTTTTTAATGTATAAGAATGCATGTTAAGGAACTATTTAGAGATACCTAAGAATTAATTACATTTCTATGTCTTTAAAATCCAGGACCCCCACCCTGTGAGGATGAGACACAACATAGGAGTCAGTCCTGTCTGTGGGTGGCATGTGACATTCAGTGCTTGTGTCATGTGTCAAGTTCAGTTGGGGGCAATGGCTGCCTTTTCTTCACTCCTCAGCCACTCTGTGCTCCTGCGTGCACACTGTCAGCTCCCATTGCGCTCCACTATTAGGCTTTCAAACTGTCTTGATTAGTAGCTGCCTATTTCAGCTCTCAGAGTGTCGTTAACTTGGAGATCTGGACTCTGATAGAGAGCTGCTTCTTGGCCCTGTTCCTCACCGAGATGCCTCGGGTCCAGGCAGGCTTATTCTGCAGTCACATGCCATCACCTCTCAAGTCACTGTGTCAGAACAGAGCTTTTCTGTGCAGTGGCTTCTCCCAAACTTGAGCCCCGTCGCTGAGTACAGCGTGGTTCACTGGGCAGTCAGCCTGGCTTTTCCTCTTTCTCTTTCTCTCCTTATATCGCTATGATCTGGTTGAATCTGCCCTCAGCACAGATCCTGAATCCCACCTCCTGTCGTCATTCCTAGCTACCCGTCTGTGGGGCCTGCAGACATCTGGTCTCTTAGCACACTCCTTCCACCAGCCAGCCTGTCATCTTGGGAGTCAGAAAGCTGCTGATGGCACAAGAAAGGCCATGCTACTCCTTGCTTAACTGCCCCATACCCCCACCCCACCCCCATCCCTAGCATCCCAGCACACTTTGGCTAATACTCAAGGCCTTGCTGTGGCCTTCTCTTCATCCCACATATTGTTTTCCTTCTGGGCCCCCTACTGACCCCTTGGTGTTGCCCAAAACCACAGTTAACCTTGTCCCCTCGCGGCCTAGACTTGGCCCTTGCCTTCTGTCAGCTTTCTGTCCCCATCACCCTACTTGATTGTCATGGAAATTATAAAGTGTAACATCAGTTTTGTGGCCACCAGCCCGATGGGCTCTTCTTTTCCCTCCTTAAAACCAGCAAGAAAACTGTATTTAAAGCAAAGCATTGGGAAACTCAGAATACGCCTCATGGCACAGAGGGCAGAGAGTGATGTTGCGGGGGGGGGGGGGCGGGGGAGGCATACTGTCTGTCGGCAGCTCTAGGAGCTCACCTCGTGACAGTGACATACAATTTCTCTATAGCCTGGGAATCTGGAGCAGAGGTGTGCTAGTGTCTGTAGCATGGATGGTAATGAGTACACGAACCTCATACCAGCTGACCTCCTAGGCTTGTGGAGCCCCCTGAGTCCCCTTCCCCTGGGAATGCTGAGGCTCTGCTTTGGTAGTAACCCCTCTGTCTTGCAGGCTTGTGATATCACAGGGGGATTGTACCTGAAGGTGCCTCAGATGCCTTCTCTCCTGCAGTACTTACTGGTGAGTTAACAGTGGCGGCGGCAGCCCAGCAACTCTAGCATCCCAGGGAAGGAATTGCTGGCAGAGTGGCTTCAGAGTTCCCAGGCTGAGGAGGGTGGACTTCCAGATCTCTCTACTCTGAAAGTTGTTTGCAGAGCTCATGTGATTACGTAGCACAGTACTTCGGTGTGGAGAGGCTCCTCGAGTAAGGGTGCTGGCTGCCAAGCCTGACGACTTGAGTTCCTCTCCAGGACCCACTCGGGGGAAGGAGAGAACCAACTCCTCCCAGTTGTCTTTGACTGCCACAAGTATGTGCTCACACACAAGCACACAAATTAAATTAAAAATTGTTTAGATAGTTGTGGGATGAATAAAAATGAATCCTAACAGACGTTGAAGGAAATTACTTTTGTTTGCATTTTGTGTATGTGTGTGGGTGCATGCTTCCCACTTAGTGCATGTGGAGGGCAGAGGACAACTTGCAGGAGTCACTTCTCTTTCCACCACCTGGGTCCCAGGAATGGAACTCAGTTCATCCACCAGGCTTGGTGCCAAGTACCTTAGCCCACTGAGCCGTCTCGCAGGCCCCAAAGGACAGTCCTTAGTTAGTATTCTCCTCAGTGCTGATTGGCCAAGGCTGCTGTGTGTGTGTGTGTGTGTGTGTGTGTGTGTGTGTGTGTGTGTGTGATTGGCTAAGGCTGCTGTCTGTGTCTGGACTGTTACTGTTTTTCCTCCTGTGATTTAATTAAAAGTTTCTTGCCTATTCTTGCTATTTTTTTAAACAGTGGGTTTTTCTTCCGGATCAAGATCAGCGATCTCAGCTAATCCTCCCACCTCCGATCCATGTGGACTACAGGGCTGCCTGCTTCTGTCATCGAAGTCTCATTGAGATTGGCTATGTCTGCTCTGTGTGTCTGTCCAGTAAGCTGATGTGGACTTTTTCTTACTGTCTGTTTGGGGGAGGAGGCAGCACAGAAAGTAATCTGGTTTTCAACTCCTTATTGCCTTGTTCTTTTGCATTTTTAACAGTTTTCTGCAATTTCAGCCCCATCTGCACCACGTGCGAGTAAGTATTTTTGCAGGTGCTGAGTGGGAGTGGGTTCCTGAGAGCTTCCGAGCCCTAAAATGTTTCTTTTCTCTCTCATTGCAGGACAGCTTTTAAGATCTCCCTCCCTCCTGTACTGAAGGCCAAGAAAAAGAAACAGAAGGTGTCCCTGTGATGAACAGACACTCCCATCTCTCGCCACAGGCCAACTCCCTGGGGGAATACTGCTCCCATCCCTGCTTGTGGGGTGGAGCTGAAGTGTACCCAAGCCTCTGATGTTGTCTGGAAAGGGGGCAAGCACAGTGTTAGGACTCTGTTTGTTGTTTTAAGGTAGCAGTTGCTTGGCAGAAGCTGGCTGGTGCTGCTTTGTTTGTTGTTGCTCTGTCCGTTGGGGCTGGGTGTTGAACCCTGGCCTAGCATGTCCTCAAGCAGTTCCCACCCTGAGCGGCAGCCCCCTGGGATTTTGTATTTAGATGGTCCTCTATCAAGATGGGCAGCGTGTGAAGCAGGAAGGCAACTTAGGAGAATGACCAGCATTGGGTCATTATCAGTTGTGATAGAGTATCTTTTTTTTTGTTTGGTTTTTCGAGACAGGGTTTCCCTGTGGCTTTGGAGGCTGTCCTGGAACTCGCTCGGTAGACCAGGCTGGTCTGGAACTCACAGTGATCCGCCTGCCTCTGCCTCCCGAGTGCTGGGACTAAAGGCGTGCGCCACCAACACCCGGCTGTGATAGAGCATCTTAATTGGGCAGGTGGTACATGCCTGGAATCCTGAACTTGGAAGACTGGGTCAGGAACGTTTTGGGTTCAGATGTCGCCTGGGAGATACACACACACATACACACCATCTTTTAAGAAAATGAACATTTTACATAAATTGTTTCCTTTAACTATATTCAAATGTAACCTGACCTAAAGGCACAAGCCTTCAGTCCCAGCACTCAAGGAGCAGAGTTTGAGGCCAGCCTTGTCTACATAGTAAGTTCAAACCAGCCAGGGCTGCATCTTGCCAGCTTGTTTACAAAAACAAAACAAGCAAAACCCAGTAGTCAAATGTACATGAACCTGATTAACTGGAGCCTTCCCTTCAGGTGTTAGCTGTTTGATATTCCTCTGATACACCAGCATATTTGCAGTTAACTAAAATTATTATTGATGGTTTTCACCAAAAATGTATAAGATCTGAGTTTAAATCTACACGGAGAACGGAGCATGGCTGCAGTAAAGTTTGCCAGACACACAGGGAAGAATTGTTGGCAGGGTCAGCCACTTACAGGGGAAAAGGAGCTATCTGTCCTATCTGTATAATTCTGTCATTTTTAATAGAAACAACATTAATATTAGAGAACTGTTAATACTAGAAATGTAAATTAGTCCAATAGAAACACTTGTAATTTCAACAATAAAAATTCTATTTTTATATTTACTAATTTTCCTTGAGCAGTTTTTGTTTTTGAGACAGGGTTTTTTGTGTAACAGCCCTGCCTGACTATCCTGGAAGTTTGTAGACCAGACTGGCCTCGAACTCACAGAAACCTGCCTGCCTCTACCTCCTTAGTGCAGGGATTAGAGGGGTGCCACCACCACCTGGCTTGCATTGAACGGTTTTTTGTTTTGTTTCTTAATTACTAAAAGCTTTCTTAAGAGCATTGACCTTCCAGAGGACCCAGGTTCAATTCCCAGCACTCACACAGCATCTCACAACTGGCATCCACAGGCACCAGGCTCACACGTGGTACACAGATATGCATGCATGCATGTATAAACAACTACACAGAATAAAAATCATAACCCAAAACAAAAAGTCAACAGGCTGTCGAGATGGCTCGGCAGGTATTGTGACCTGACGGATCACCAGGGTCACATGGGTGAAGGGCAGAAGTGACTCCTGAGTTGTCTCCATTCTCTTCGGTGTGGACAGTTCCTGCCTTTTTCTGTATGAGGGACTGAGGCATAGACTCCTGACAGCTGGTGCCTGGAGAGCCTGCTTGAGAAGGTGGCAGCAGCAAACAGGTCTGTAAGCTGTTGTGTTGGGGGCCTCTGCTGCTGACAGACCTCAGGAGAGGCGGCAGTGGGCATCCCAAGCCAGTTAGCCAAGGACGTGGATGCTCCCCGGCTGTGGAAGGAGGGCCAAGCTGATTAAAGGCATGTGTCACCACTGCCTGGCTTGAACTTTGTCGCTGGAGGATTTTGCCTGACACTGGCTGGGGGCAATGAGTCATCTTTGGCTGAGACTGAAGGAAACCCAGAACATGGCCTGGGCCAAACCAATAAACACACAGGGACACTTTGGGATAATAGTCTAAGGTAGAGAACCTCATAGAGTATTTGGTGTTACCATAGAGAAAACACGAGATGCAGAGGATGACCTCGACATAGCAGTATCCAGACCATGACTGGGATGCTGTGCAGTGTACAGTGGTCTTCCAGGAATGGCATATGGTGGCCTGGCAGAACCAGCATAAGCCTGGCAAACTACTTTAAAGTTTCTGCTCTAGGACACAAACACCCCTCTGCTCCCCTACCCATGTACAGTTCTGATAGAAATAGGTTTTACTTCACGTGTATGATTGTTTGCATGGATGTATGTATTTGCACCATGTACATGTACATATAGTGACTAAGGAGACCAGAATGGGGCATCAGATCCCTATTACAGAAAGTTGTGAGCCACCACGTGGGTTCTGGAACCCGAACTCTGATCCTCTGCAAAAGTAGCAAATGCTCTGAACCTCTGAGCCATCTCTGCAGCCTCGCAGTGTGGTTTCTTGATGTCTGGGATGGAAAGAACCCACGACGTGCCCTGGGATTACAGAGCGGCAAAACCGAACGAAGCCTGGTGGGCAGGGCCAGGAGAGCCGGCGGTCTCGCTCTGAAGCGATCATGGAGCGCCGCTGGCCGATTGGTGGTTGCCACAGCTAGTGGTACTTTCGCTAGACTTGCAGAAGCAGGCTCTCTTGACCTGGACCAATCACGACATGCCCATCACCGATTGGTGGTTGCCATGGCTGCGGGCGTTCAGCTTGGCAATATGGCGTCGGCCGGGCGGCGAATGCTCCCGCTTTTTCTCCTCGGGACTATTGCGGGCTTGTGAGGCTGACCCAGCCCCAGGATGGGAACTCTGTCTCCGCTCGGCCTTCTGTGGGGGCTCCTCCTGCTGCAGGACGTCCTGAGGCCGCTGCGTGGGGACCCGGGTGTGTGTGGCGGGGTATGGCCTGCATGGCCCAGGCTGAGGGACTCTGGGGCCCCTAGGATCCCGGAAGCCGCAGCCATCTACAAAGCCAGCACATGCACCCCAGGCACAGGTTCTGCACGGCCTAACCCCAGCCCGCACCCTTCCTTCTCTCCTAGTTTTCATTCCACCTTTCATCCGAATGTCCAGCCCTGAGGTCAGCGCGTCCCTGGTCGGAGTCAGTGAGGATGTCACCTTGTCTCTGACTCCGCTGCAGGTCGAGAAAGGTGGGAGTTTGGCTTTTCTTGGGAGCGTGGGTGCTGCCCACAGAGCTGCTGCCTTCAGCAGAGTAGGGGCGGGGAAGAATGGCAGTATCTGTGTGCGCTGTAGAGCAAAGAGGCCCTGTGTACAGGTTCTGGAAACGGGAGCTCGAAATTAAAGTGGCCAACAAGCCACTGAGGAGGCTGCAGCAGACGGATCTGTGAGTTCCAGGCCAGCCTGGTCTGCATAGGGAGACTTGTTTTTTGTTTGTTTTTGTTTTTCAAAGAAAAAAAGTGGCCAGTATTCATTGGTCAAGCTCCCACCACCCCAATATTCTCCATAACGTCTCTGTGTTCACGTAAGAACAGTAGGATCAGTCGGGCGTTGGTGGTGCACGTCTTTAATCCCAGCACTCGGGAGGCAGAGGCAGGCGGATCTCTGTGAGTTCGAGGCCAGCCTGGTCTACAGAGCGAGTTCCAGGACAGCCTCCAAAGCCACAGAGAAACCCTGTCTCGAAAAACCAAAAAAAAAAAAAAAAAAAAAAAAAGAACAGTAGGATCTCTTTATCCCATTAACAAATAAAAAGACATACTGCTTGGCTAGTCTCACGCAGTGTCCGTGGGGATTCCAATCCTAGGACTCTCAACTTCTTAGCTGCCGGAGCCTGACGCCTTGCGTTCTAATTTCTCCCTTAGGAGTGCTGCCAGTTCCTACCTGTGGTGGTCTCAGCAATGAGACAGGAGATTGGAATGTGACTGTGAGCCCCGGTGTGGTAAGACCTGAGGCAAAAGCTCTTTTGAACCTGTTTAGGCTTTGTGCAGGATGTGCAAGCGTGTGTGTGTGTGTGTGTGTGTGTGTGTGTGTGTGTGTGAGTGTGTGCATGTGTGCGAGGGTGTCTGTGTGTATGAGTGTGTGTGTATGAGAGTGTGAGTGTGTGTATGTGAGAGAGAGTACATGTGTGAGAGTGTATGTGTGAGGGTGTGTCTGTGTGTATGAGAGAGTGAGTGTGTGTGAGAGTGTGTGCAAGTGTGTGAGGGTGTGTCTGTGTATATGAGAGTGTGAGTGTGTGTGTGTGTGAGTGAGTGTGTGCATGTGTGCGAGGGTGTCTGTGTGTATGAGTGTGTGTGTATGAGAGTGTGAGTGTGTGTATGTGAGAGAGAGTACATGTGTGAGAGTGTATGTGTGAGGGTGTGTCTGTGTGTATGAGAGAGTGAGTGTGTGTGAGAGTGTGTGCAAGTGTGTGAGGGTGTGTCTGTGTATATGAGAGTGTGAGTGTGTGTGTGTGTGTGTATGAGAGTGTGAGTGTGTGTGTCGCTGGGGATCAAACTCAGGTCTTGTGTGTTTCACCACACTGTCAGCTCCCCAATGTTCTTGTGATTTGACATTTCATGTTCCAAGTAGTTGGAATTTTCTTTGGGCTGCCTCATTATTAATTATGAATGCTTGGCCTTAGCTTAGGCTTGCCCCACTGGCTATCATAATTTAACTTGTTTCTCTTCATCTACATTTTGCTTCAAGGCTTTTTACCTTTCTTTCATTCCACATGTCCTCCTTTCCTGCTTCTTCTGTGTCTGCCTGGTGTTTCCCTGGAGTCTTTTTCTCCTTATTCTCTGACACTAAATTCTTTCTTCTACTTATTCTGTCTGCCCAGAAGTGACACCTATACCTCCTCCCTTGCTATTGGCCATTCAGCTTTTTATTAGATCAATCAGGTGCCTTAGGCAGGCAAGGTAAAACAGCAACACATCCTTACATAGTGAAACAAATATTCTGCAACAGTTTCATATTCATATTATCTGGAATTATAAGGAATTGTGGGCTATTAATGTAGACCCCCATTCAGCATGTTTTTTTTTTTTTTTCGTTTTTAAGAGACAGAGTTTCTCTGTATTGTTTTGGAGGCTGTTGGTCCAGCCGGGCCTCGAACTCACAGAGATCCCCCTGCCTCTGCCTCCCGAGTGCTGGGATTAAAGGCATGTGCTACCACCGCCCGGCCATGGCACCTCTTATAAAGGAAAAATGTTTAACTGGGTGGATTACAGTTCAGAGGTTTAGTCCACTATCATCATGGTGGGACATGGCGGCATGCAGGCAGACGTGGTGCAGGAGAAGGAGCTGAGACTTCTACATCTTGATCCAAAGGCAGCAGGAAGTGAACTGAGACACTGGGCGTGGCTTGAGCATATGAGACCTCAAAGCCAGCCTCCACAATGACACACTTTCTCCAGCAAGGCCATACCTACTCCAACAAAGCAACACCTCCTAACAGTGTCACTGCCTATCAGCCTATGGGAGCCAGTTACATTCCAGCTACCACACATGAATGTGTGTGTGTGTGTGTGTGTGTGTGTGTGTGTGTGTGTGTGTGTGTGTAAGATTAGGAAATGGGGATGGAAGTGGTGGGGCACATCTTTAGTCCCAGCATTCTAGAAACAGAAGTAGGTAGATCTCTGTGAGTCTGAGATCACCCTGGTTTACACAGCAAGTTCAATGCCAGACAGAGAGACACAGTGAAATCTTTTCTCAAAAAGGAAAGAGAAAATCTGGAAATAGAGCTGTGTAGATGGTTCATTGGTTAAGGGTTCTTTCCACAGAAAGAATCAGTGGCCAGTTCCTAGCACCCACAAATACCTGTGACTCCATCTCTTGGGCACCCAGAGGCCGGTTCCCAGTGTCCACAAGCACCTGTGACGCCAGCTCTGGGGCAGCCAGTATTTTTTTATTTCTTTTTAAAAAAGATTTTATTTATTTTATGTATGAGTGCTCTGTCTTCATGTATGCCTTTATGCCTGAAGAGGACATCAGATTCCCTCTATAGATGGTTGTGAGCTACACTGTGATTGCTGGGAATTAAACTCAGGACCACTGGAAGAGTAACCAGTGCTCTTAACCTCTGAATCATCTCTCCAGTCCCTTCTTTTTTTATTAATTAATTTTTTTACATTCCAATCCCAGTTCCCCCTTCCCTTCTCTCCTCCAATCCCAGCATTTAAAAAAATATTTATTTTTATTTTATGTGAATTAGTGTTTTGCCTACATATATGTCTTTGTGAGGGTACCAAATCCCCTGGAACTGGAGAGTTACAGATTGTTGTGAGCTGCCATGTGGGTGCTGGGAATTGAACCTGGGACCTCTGGAAGGGAAGTCAGTGCTTTTATCCTTTGAGCCATCTGTCCATCCCCAAGCATCCAGGATTCTTTTTGGGCCTCTGTTGGTACACACACACACACACACACACACACACACACACACACACACACACCATATCCATATACAAACACACATACAAATAAAAAAGAAAGTTTTTATTTGTTTTTGTTTTTTCGAGACAGGGTTTCTCTGTATTATTTTGGAGGTTGTCCTGGAACTCTCTCTCTGCAGACCAGGCTGGCCTCGAACTCACAGAGATCCGCCTGCCTCTGCCTCCTGAGTGTTGGGATTAAAGGCGTGCGGCACCAACGCTCGGCAAAAGGCAAGTTTTTTTTTTTTTTTTGGTTTTTCGAGACAGGGTTTCTCTGTGGCTTTGGAGGCTGTCCTGGAACTCGCTTGGTAGTCCAGGCTGGTCTCGAACTCACAAAGATCCGCCTGCCTCTGCCTCCCGAGTGCTGGGATTAAAGGCGTACGCCACCAACGCCCGGCTAAAAGGCAAGTTTTTAAAAGTCAGAATTTAGACTGGGAATATGGTTCAGTTGGTAGAGTGCTTGTCTAGCATGTGTGAAGCCCTAAGTTCAGTCCCAGCAACATGCATGTGCGTGTACGGAGACACACACTTATTGGCGTGCACACTCAGACACACTGAATAACAACAGTAATCATAAAAATGGTCCAGAGCTTGGGTACCAGAGGTTGGCTGGAAGTGAAGGGAATGCTACCATCAGTTCTCCTGTGGAGTGAACCATCTCGTAGACAGCTCTCTGGTAAAACGAAGCAAGGCTCAGGTGTGTGTTTACAGGGTTTTCTCTTACGCCTTCTCATCACTAGAGATGCTTTCCTTTCAGAACGTGCTGGAAGTGACAGTGCGGTGGAAGAGGGGTCTGGACCTGTGCTCCTCGAAGGGGACTGCCTCCTCCTCAGAGCCCCCGTGCATCGTCCAAACTCTGCTGGTTTCTGCATCCCACAATGCATCCTGCTCAGCACATCTGCTCATTCAGGTGGAGATTTATCCCAACACGACTGTGACCCACAATGCATCAGGCAAGTGACGTCTCCGGTCAAAACATTTCTGTCAGTCACTATCTGGAGATTGTGTAGTGTGGGCAGTTACTAGATGTGGCTCTGTTTTCTTTGTTGTTATTTTTTGTTTGTTTTGAGACAGGATCTCACTGTGTAGCTCTCGATGGTCTAGAGCTCACTATGTAGACCAGTTTGTCCTGAACTTAACAGAAATCTGCCTGCTCTTGCTTCCTGAGTTAATTTTTTAAAAATTTGTATGTATGTATGTGTTTGTGTGAGTGTATGTGTGCTATGTGTATGCAGGACCCTGAAGAGGCCAGAAGAGGGCATCAGACCCCAAGTACTGGAATCCCATGCAGCTGTGAGTGACTTTGTGGGTAATTTGAACTGAACCCAGGTCTTCTCCAAGAACAACCGATTTTCTTAACCACTGAGCCATCTTTGCAATCACCTAGACTCAACTTTTGAGTCTTTCCTGCCTTCCTAAATGTACTATTTCTGTTTGTTTGATTTGGAGGTTTTTACTTTGTGTCATTTTATTTAATTATGATCTAACCAAGCAACAGGTGTCACACACCTTTAATCCCAGCACTGGTGAGGTAGAGGCAGGTGGATATCTGTGAGTTCGAGGCCAGCCTGGTCTACAGAGTGAGTTTCAGAACAGCCAGAGCTACATAGTGAGACCCTGTCTCAAACTCATACCTTCCCTCCTGCAAAATTTCTGGTTCTCTTGACACATCTTTTGTAAACCATTTTAAGTCCTTTTGGGTAAAAGGTAAAAATTTGTTTTCATGCATTTATCCACATAGCTCTGCTTAAGAAAATATAAAATATAGTTGAGCAGCTGGGCAGTGGTGGCACACGCCTTTAATCCCAGCACTCAGGAGGCAGAGGCAGGCGGATCTCTGTGAGTTTGAGACCAGCCTGGTCTACAAGAGTAAGTTCCTGAACAACCTCCAAAGTCACAGAGAAACCCTGTCTCGAAAAACCAAAAAAAAAAAAAACCCCCCCCCCCAAAAAAAACAACAATTGAGCAAACCCTGGTGGAGCAGGCCATCTTTCTCAGTGCTGACTCGGAAGGGCACAGCTCTCCTCTCCTCTTCTGCCATTCAGACACCAGCAGGCGCCTAAGCATGCATTCTCTATGTGGCTGCTGGTCCACCATGTGACTGACCTCAGTGCCTCACTCAAATGACATGGTTCTCTCTCCCTCTTAAGTTCCCACCTATGAATCTATATTACGTCTTTCTAAAACTCCAGAAAAAGAAGAAAAAGAGGGGCTGTGGGCACAGCTCGCGTGCTGGAGTGCCTGCCTGGCACCCACAAAACTGGGTTCAATTCCCAGCAACGCAGAAAATTGAGCAAGGTCTTGCTTGTCTATAATCCCAGCAGTGGAAGGTGGAGGCAGGTGCATCAGGAAATCCAAGTTCTTTCTTGGCTACATAATAAGTTTAAGGACAGCCTGAGCCACGTAATACCGTGTTTCTAAAATAAAAGCCGTGGGGGCCGGCTTGCTATAATAGGTGCTACCACCATGGTTTTCTTGCCTGCAGAAGACTCTTGCATCTCTTGCCTGTGTAGCTATGGCTGCCCAGTAGCCAAGGTTAGTCTCCAATTCAAAATCATCCTGCCTCAGAGACTGAATGCTAAGATCATGGGTGTGTAATACCATGCCCTATTTTCACTTCGTATTTTGAGACAGAGACGTACATAGCCCAGGGTGACCTGGAGCTCACTGTGTACCCAAGGCTAGCCTGAGCTCCTGACACCCCTGCCTATGCCCCCAGAGTACTGGGATAACAGGCATGAGCCACCGTGCCCAGCTCAAACATTTTTTAAAGAAAGAAAAAGGAATCTTTCTGAAGAAAGCAGTGGGTTTTTTTTTCCTGCTTAAAATGCAAAAGAAACCAAGAAAATATTCAGTGAATTCTCCAGAAAGCTCCTGGAGAAAATCAGTGAAGGGGGAAGTCCTTGTAGGAGGCCCTCATGGTAGCCATGATGCAGACTTGCTTTGGAATCCTCTGTGGGCTGCAGAGATGCTCAGTGGTGGAGTATTTACTGTTCTTTCAGAGGCCCAGATGCAGTTCCTAGCCCCTACCCACATCAGGTGGCTTACAGATGTGGAACTCCACCTTCAGAGACTCCAGTGGTCTCACCTGGCACCTGCACTGGGACACACACACATCAAAATAAATCCTTTTGCTTGTTTTTGTTTAGTTTTTTAGGAGCAGGGTTTCTCTGAATAGCAGTTCATGCTGCCCTGGAACTCACTCTGTAGACCAGGCTGGCCTCGAACTCACAGAGATCCGCCTGCCTCTTTGCATCAAAGGTGGGTGCAACCACCACCCAGCTTTTTTTTTTTTTTTTTTTGATACAGGGTTTCTTTGTGTAGCCCTGGCTGCCCTGGAGCTCTCTCTGTAGACGAGGCTGACCCTGAATTCACAGAGATCCACCTGCCTCTGCCTCCTGGGCACTGGGATTAAAGCATCTGCTATCACTACAAGGCCTAAATAAATCTCTGAAGTATTTTCCATAGTAGGTTTCCATGTCCACCCAGCCTAGCCAGTTCAGGGAGTTCCAAGTCCAGCGAGAGACCCTGCTTTAGAAACACAGCGTGGAATGCCTGTGTCGGTGGCGCACACCTGCAACCCTGGCTCTCTTGAGGCAGAGACAAGTGGATCTCTGTGAGTTCAATGCAGTGAGATCCTCAGTCAAAAGCCACAACCGAGGTGAAGAGAGCACCTGATCCCAGGCTCTGCTTCCACACACGATGTACACTCATACACACGCATGTCTACACACACACACACACACACACACACACACACGTACACACACTCTCTTACACTTCCCGATTCAGCCGTCTGGTGAGTTTCAAAAAAGTGTCCCAGCTTTGTGGAACTGTTTCGGAGTTGAACTTTTTCTGCCCTGTGTCCTTTTAGATAACGTGACGGTCAGTCCTAACCAAGCCTATCAGCCTCTGGGCCCCTGCCCTTGCGACTTGACAGCCAAGGCCTGTGACATTCGCTGCTGCTGTGACCAAGTGAGTTCTGTTTACCACCCTACCTGAGAGCATTTGGGAATCACCGGCAGTCTCCCCCAGCAGCTTTGGCTGTCAGAAAAACCTGTCTGCAGTGGCTGCTTTTAGTCATTGTGTTAGTGACCTGCACCACCGTGAGTATATTTACATACTCAGGATGGCTAGAGTCAACAGGTGACACAAGGCACTGCCAGGCTGTGCCCAGTCTGTCACTAACAGTAATTTGACCTCCTCCACTACCTGCCCTTGGAGCTGGTTGTTTTGTATATTCTGTTAGCCGCTACTGCTAGGATTTACTCCTCTATCGGCAAGTGTGGTGCCACACGCCAGCAAGCCTGACTCTGGGGAGGTTAAAACTGACAATCAACATGAACTTGAAGCAAGCCTGGTCTACATAGTGACACTCTCTCATAACAAAAGAGCAGGGTCCAATGTGGTGGTGCCCATGTGTGCACAGGCATACATGCAGGCAAAACACTCATACACATAAAATAAAAGGAACATTATTTTTGAAAAATGGGCAGCCCAGCTAGGCGATGTTGGCACACGCTTTTATTCCCAGCACTCGGGAGGCAGAGGCAGGCCGATCTCTGTGAGTTGGAGGCCAGCCTGGTCTGTATAGTGAGTTTCAACCAGAGAGAAACCTTGTCTCAAATTAAATAATAAATAGACAAACACACCAAATGTATTTTGTATCTGTGATGTCTTCAGATGATCCCAACTTAAAGTTTATGGATGATGTTAATTTTGTGTTTGAGGGGGATTGAATGTAGGTCTCACACATGCCAGGCTACCACTGAGTAATGTATCCAGCCCTTCTCTGTTACTTTTTAAAAACTTAAGACAGAGCATTGCTAAGTTGCCCAGGCTGGTCTTGAGCTTTTGATCCTCCTGCCTCAGCTTCCTGAGGTTACACACCTGGCTCTTGTCCCGGTTTTTGATGATGTATCTAAGTTCATAGTGAGGCTCACTCCTTTGAAGGCTGGAAGTTTCTGACTAGGACTTCACTAGGGAGTTGACTAAGGAGCTGTGTGTGTGTGCATGTGTGTGTTATTGCTCGTGTTTGCACAATTTGTGGAAGCCAGAGGACAACCTTGAGTGTCATACCTAGGGTACTATGCATCCTTTTTTTTTTTTTGAGACATGACCCCCTCACTGAATCTGTAGCTGGCAGAATAGGCTAGGCCAGCTGTCAGGGATCCCCCTATTTCTGTCTCCCCAGCAAGCAATTTTACTGACCGGGACACTTCCACATCCCCAAGGAGCTCTCTTCTTACACTGCAAGGCACTTTGGGAGGAGGTGGGGATGCGTTGCTCTCTTGGCTACTGGGTTGCAGGCTGGTGGCCCCAGAGGGTGTGTCGTCACGCTGGCGGCGAGCTGGGACTGGTGTTGCGTTTGGAGCTTGTGCGCCTCTCTCTCCTTGCATCTGTTTTCAAGGACTGCCTGCCCGAAGTCAGAGAGCTGTTCCAGCAGTCCTGCTTCCCCAGCGTGTTCGGAGGGGACGTCAACCCCCCCTTCCACCAGCGCTGTGCAGTTGGCACCACTCGTGAGACCCCGGACTGGTTTCCCTTCCTGTGTGTGCAGTCACCCCCCTCCAACTCACCCTTCCTCGGTCATTTCTATCATGGTGCCGTGTAAGTAGCTGCTGCCTGGAGGGGCCTGCTTCCTGGGGTCACCAGGTTCCCTTTACCAGGCCACCTTGTCTTGGGTCACATTTTTTTTCTCAGTACCTTAAAGAAGTTCACACTGGTTTGCAGTTAGTGAAGCCATTTCTCCCAAAGTGTCGGGAGAACTGAGAAAAAAAAACCCAGCAGATCCAGCCAGCAGTGGGCAGTGACTTTCCAGTGTGGAGGATGGAGCCAGGGGCCCACAGGGACTTGAACTTCCTGTGTTGTGTAGTTCTGTATCATTGAAATTTTTTGTTGTTATTTCGTGACAGGGTTTCTCTGTGCAGTCCTGGAACTCGCTCTGTAGACCAGGCTAACCTCGAACTCACAGAGATCCACCTGCCTCTGCCTCCCAAGTCCTGCTGCTGTCGCCGCCACCTCCCTACCCCCAGGTGAAAAATTTATGACTATGATCTCTGTGAATAAAAAATGAAGAGCTAAGCCGGGCGGTGGTGGCGCACGCCTTTAATCCCAGCACTCTGGAGGCAGAGGCAGGCGGATCTCTGTGAGTTCGAGGCCGGGCTGGACTGATAGCCTCCAAAACAATACAGAGAAACCCTGTCTCGTAAAACCAAAAAAAAAAAAAAAAAAAAAAAAAAATGAAGAGCTGGAGTTGGTGTTGGATCCCTGTAATCCAGCACCCAGGAGGCAGAGGCAGGAGGATCAGAGTTCGAGGTCGTTCTTGTATATATAGAGAGTATGAGGCTAGCCTGGGCTACATGATACCCTATATCAAAGCAAAGAGGAAGCATTAAAGGGTAATTTTTGCATCTCAGCAGATCGTCATTGAAGGGTTATCGATCTTTTTTTTTAAATGGTGCTTAGCCTATGCACAGGCTAAGCGAACACCCTGAGAACCCATGGATTATCTCTCTTACGTACTTGCAGTTCCCCCAGACATGACCCTGCCTTCGAAGCCCATCTACACCTCGATCTAAGAGACTTCACTGATGCCGCTTACAAACAAGGCGATCCCATCATGACCACACAGGGGTATTTTACTGTCCCTCAGGTAACGCCTTCAGTTTCAACACTCGGATCTAACTAGTGTTGTCAGTCCATAAGAATCTCCCCCTAAGCAGCTTATTTTCCTCTTGTGCATTAACTATTAATAGTCCCTAGAGTGGAAAGATTCGTTTTTAACCTCTGCCTTCACTAAGTCACAGTGTGTATAATGACGCCGGAAGTATCTCTGCAGACTCCTCGGAGGTGATGTGTGGTCAGTCTCCACTGCATTCCTTTTTGTGTTTTTGTGGTGCTGGAGCGGGTACTGAGGGCCTTGCATATGCCAGTCAAGTGCTCTGCCCCCAAGCTACATCCCCAGCCCCAGAAATTTCTGAGATTCTTTAAGTATGTGACAGTGTATAAGAATGTTTGACACATCCTTTAAGGTTAGAAGTCTTACGTGAAGTCTTTATTCTTTCTGCTTCTATCATTATTGGGAAACCATGCCTGTGGGAGGAAAGCATGGGATGCATGACAGTTTGCTATTCTTTGAACCGTCTGGGGGGCAGGAGGTGGTGCTCAACACTAGAGTTTATGGTTATTCCACATGGGGCCGTGGCTTTCCACCTCCCTCAGAATTGGATTGTGGTGAGGGAGAAGCGGCGCTGAATATAGTCGTGACTTGTTAGTGGACAGGGCCAGGGACCTTCCCCGAGTGTATTAGGGAACACTTAACTGTGAGCAGTGGCTTCCAGATCTTGGTTCCCCAAAGTCGGTCACCTTGAGTCCTAACTGTTGACATTGTCCCGCAATAGCAGTGGGCAGCAGAAAGCAACTTGGAGTAGGGTGGCATTGAAGCAGGGTCTCACACTGTAGCCTAGACTGGTCCTGAATTTAGTGCAACTCTGCCTGACCGCCCCCGAGCACAGGGAAGGCAGCCTTGAGCCCACGCTTGGCAGAAAGAACGGTTTCAAGAGAGGAAGAAGAATTCCATGTACCATGTCTGCTCCTCGCCCTCAGGTCTCCCTAGCTGGACAATGTCTGCACGGTGCTCCAGTGGCTTTCCTGAGGAACTTTGATGTTAAATGTACCATCAATCTGGAAGTGTACCAAGAACAAGATGGCGTTGTCCCTGAGCGTGTGAAGATCCACACAGCGGGAGGTAGGCTGCCTCCCTCCCCTGTGTTAAGCCTCTGGCTCCGCATCGGTGATGGCTCATCTATTGGTTGAGAATGGTGTTTTCCCTGGGAAAAGTTCAGTCTGACAGAACAGCACCCTGACATGTGGTCAGTGTTTTCCTCTCTGCACTGAGCATGGAACCCAGTGTTCAAGCACCAAGCCCCACCCACCCCAGATCGCTATTGTCAGTTAAGTCAGATCTCCATAATGTCACGAGTGCCATCGACTCTCTGTACAACACTGTGTACCCTACACTCCTAAGGAGCCCCAGACCTTTCGACACCCACAAAGGGAGCTGGTGTCTTTTCTGCAGTGAGCCACTGAGCTCTTGTCTGTCTCTGCATGTCACATGGATGGAACCATTCCTTTGCTGCTGGCTCCTGGAACCCTTGATAGGGGTGGGGAAGGACTGTTGAAAGAACAGACACACTGTGAAACAGGGACGGGTCTGGTCAGCTTCTCCAACTACTACTATGGTAACCTGCAGCCTCAGCGTGTGTTAGGCACAGCCCAGGGGAGGCAGTTAGTCTCTGTAGGTCTCTCCAGGCAGTGGTCCCTGGCCCTGAACATCCAGGAGGAAGGCACAGTTGCCAGTCTCTGCACACACAGAAAACCAGTTCATAAACACTCCTCCTCAGACTCCCAAAGAAAGCTGTCACTTTTCTTTTTTTGAACCTGGCCCATATGAGTAGTAGCTTTGCTAACTTCCCACGGGCATTGCTCGTGTCAAAGCTCACAATGACTCAGGGCCTCACTCCCCTGCCTCTTGCACTTTTCTCTGTGGCCTTCACTTCTGGCTTCTCTCACTTAGCAGCATCTTTTTGTTTGTTTGTTTTTATTTTTCGAGACAGGGTTTCTCTGTATTGCTTTGGAGGCTGTCCTAGAACTCACTCTGTAGACCAGGCTGGTCTTGAACTCAGAGATGTACCTGCTTCTGCCTCAAGAGTGTTGAGATCAAATGCGTGCACTACCAATGCCCAACTTTAGCATCATCTTTTGAAAGCACGTATCTGTGCCACTTTTTGGGGGGGGGGGGGGGTTAAGGAGTATCGTACTGTATGGCTTAGTCACATTTCTTTGTCCATTTGTAGGCTGATGGATACTTAGGTTGTTGCCACCTTTTGGTTTTGTAACCAGTGTTGGCGTGAGCATTTGGGGACACAGTTTTGTGGCATGTGGGGTTGCCATGCCGTGTAGTTTACTTGACAGTTTGAGGGAACATAGATTCTTCCGAATTGGCTGCTCTGTGTACTTTGCACCCTGAAGCTCTTCTTACACCACAGGTGCTGGTGCTGACTCTGTGTAGGTATAGTGAGGGGCCGGGAGCACAGCAGCCCCAGCCTCTGATGATACAGGAGAGGGAGAGAGGGTGGGGAGATAATCACCACAAGCATGATTGCACAGTAGCCCTTTTCCTTTCCTTTTTGAGATAGGATAGCCTAGGGTGACCTTGAACTCCTGATCCTTCTGTCTTGTGAATGCTGGGATTGCAGGAGTGTGTAACAAAGTCTGGCTTCTTGTTAGCTCTATAAGCTTCCTGTGAATAGGTGAGTGGCACTGTGACAGACCACATGTCGCTGTGGAAGTTAATTTGTTGGGGGACATTTGATTACAGTGTGAATCCTGAGTTTGCATTTGCATTAATTAAATAAAATTGACCTTGGGTCGGGAGATGGAACTAGCAACTGGTTGACAGAAAGTCATCATAGAGCACCAGCGGGCTTCTGGAAGAGAGAGAGAGATGCACCAGAAGGAGTAGGGAGGGATTTGGAGTGGCGTGTCTTTTTTTTTTCTTTTCTTGTGGCAGAGCAGAAGGATGTGCTCTTTTGGAGAGACACCAGCAAGGAGAGGGAGTTAAAGCTAGTTGCTACTCAACCTCTCTGAGCCAGCAGGTTTTCACCCCAGCCTTTGATTCTCAAGTCTTATTTATAAATAGAATGATAGAGATTCAGTTAAAGCTACCTTTAGCAGCAGCAGCAGAGCTGCAGTTGTGGGCTGAAATAGCAGTGGATTAAGGTGCAGTCACTGTGCCTAAGTTAAAACAGCATTAATTCTGTGTCATTTTAGGTCTGGTCACACCAACAGTAACCTATGAGGAAGCTGCTGACCTGGACAAGCTCATCTCCAGTCCAGGTACATCAGTGTTATGTGTTCATGCACTTCTACAAAACACAGGTGCTATTTTCTTCTATTTATTTTTAAAATAATATCTCACTATGTGGTTTTGGCTGCTCCGTAATTCCCTATATAGACCACGATGGCCTCAAACTCACAGAGATCGGCCAGCCTGCTTCCTGAGTGCTGGGATTAAAGGCGTGCACTGCTATGTCTTGGTTGTTGATTTTGGTTTGGTTTTGGTTTTTTTTGAGACAGGGTTTCTCTGTGTAGCTCTGGCTGTCCTGGAACTCACTCTGTATACCAGGCTGGTTCCGAACTCAGGGATCTGCCTGCTTCTATCTCCCAAGTGTTGGGATTAGAGGTGTGCACCATCACTGCCCAGCTTTTTAAAACAAATTTTTAAAGATTAATTTTTATCTGTATGTTTGGTGTGTGCCAAGGCCAGAAGAGGGTATCAGATCTCCTGGAGTCTGACTTAAACAATTGATTGACATGAGTGCTAGGAATCAAACTCTGGTCCTCTGCGGGAGCAGCAACCGCTCTTAACCATTGAAAATTATGTGTTATGTTGTGTATGTGCGAGTGTGCGTGCGTGCGTGCGTGCGTGCGTGCGTGCGTGTGTGTGTGTGTGTGTGTGTGTGTGTGTGTGTGTTTGTTTGTGTGTGAGTGCAGGCATGTGCATAGAAATCAGAGGACAAGCCGGGCGTTGGTGGTGCACGCCTTTAATCCCAGCACTTGGAAGGCAGAGGCAGGCGGATCTCTGTGAGTTTGAGACCAGCCTGGTCTACAAGAACGAGTTCCAGGACAGCCTCCAAAGCCACAGAGAAACCTTGTCTCGAGAAAAACCAAAAAATAAAAAATAAAAAAAGAGCTCAGAGGACAAGCTTGGCTGTGGGTACTTCTCTCCCACCTTATTTGAAACAGGGCATCTTGTTCCTTGCTGCATATTCCAGGATAGCACCAGGACTGAAGCTGAACTCCTTCAGCTGGTTTCTGGGGATCTGAACTGTGTCTCCAGCCCGGTTTCCTGTCTTTCCTGGTAGTTAAGCTTTGCATCTGGGATGCAGCCGGAGAAGCTGTGTGGGTGTGGCTGGTGTGAGCAGCCCTTTGTATTGAATGAAGGTGTGGCTTGTGTTCCTTTCCAGTGGGTTATGACCTTGTTCCTGTCTGTGTGTTGTAACTCAGACTGTCTATTAGCAGCTGGGCATCATGCCTCTGCTTCCGGATGCATGAGTGTCCCCAAGTGTCACTTCTGCTCATGTAATGAGCTCAGTGCCAGGGACACAGGAATCAAGGAAAGGGACAGAATCATTCAGGGAAGTGGGGTGGGAGAGAGAATGTGGCTAACTCTGGTGGGACCACAGGAGGCTCCGTGGAGGAAACAGTGGCTGGGCTTTTTATGCAGCTGGACTTGGGGGAGCCCACTCAGAGAGATCCCCAGTAGCATTTCAACTCAGAGAGGGCTTGTTTTGTTTTGTTTTGTTTTGTTTGCAGGCACACTTTTAAACAGTGGATCTGCCCCCAAAAATGTGACTGTGGAAGGGCATTATGTTTTCAGATGGCAAAATAATTCTATCAGTGGACTAGATATCACAATCATCCGGGGAGAAATCAGTGCCCACCAGAAAGGTAATGGTGATGAGGGGCTGAGAACACCTTGAGTTTGAAGTTTCAGTTGCTTCTGAAGCTATAGGCCTTCAAGTGAAGGTAGACTTGTTTATCATGTGTGTTTATCTCTGAATCAAGGAGTCGGTATTTTCTTTTCCCCTAAGACAGGGTTTCTCTGTGTAACAGCCCTGGCTATCCTGGAACTTGCTTTGTAGACCAGGCTGGCCTTGAACTCACAGAGAAATTCGTCTGCCTCTGCCTCCTGAGTGCTAGGATTAAAGGTATGTGTCAGTATTTTTTTGTAATTTTGTGCCAGGTGTGACTACTCACACCTGTAATGCTAGAACTCAGGAGGCGGGGACAGTGAGATTAGTGAGTTCAAGAACAGCATAGATATAGTTAGTGAAGCCCTGTCTCTCAGGAACAAGAAAAGAAAAGTGAGTTTTAAAGTAAATGGTACCTGGGCTGGAGAGATAGCTCAGTACTGGCTGCTCTTCCAGGGGACCCAGGTTCAGGTCCCAACACCCACAGCTCACAGGAGATCAAGTTCACAGCAGACCCTTCACAGATACCTGTAGAGGTGTACACATGTCCATACACATATACATGTGATTAAAAGTAAAGGCAGTGGTGGCGCACACCTTTAATCGCAGCACTTGGGAGGCAGAGGCAGGCAGATCGCTGTAAATTCGTGGCCAGCATGGTCTACAAGGCATATTTTACGACAGTAGGACTCTTACAGAGGGAAACCCTGTCTCAACCTCCCCCCCACACAAGAATTAAATAAAAAAATCAAGTAAATCATTGGCCTGGCAAGATGGCTCTGCTGGGAAGTCTTCGACAAGCCCGACAATCTGAGCCTGATCCTCCAGAACTAAACTCTTATGAGTTGTCGTCACACCCACACGCACACAAAGTAATAAAACATAACTTTAAGAGAAGAAAAAGAATAGGACGAGCCGGGTGGTGGTGGCACATGCCTTTAATCCCAGCACTCGGGAGGCAGAGGCAGGCAGATCTCTGTGAGTTCGAGGCCAGGCTGGACCGACAGCCTCCAAAACAATACAGAGAAACCCTGTCTCGTAAAAACCAAAAAAAAAAAAAAAAAAAAAAAAAAAAAGAAGAAGAGGAGGAGGAGGAGGAGGAGGAGGAGGGGCATGTTAGTGTGTGACTTTAATCCCCAGCACTTGGGAGGCAGAGGCAGACACATCTTTGTGAGTTTGAGGCCAGCCTGGTCTATGGAGTGAGTTCCCAGACAGCCAGGGTTGTACACAGAAACCCTGTCTCAAAAAAACAAAAAGAAAATAAAAACTAAAGACAGGTCTTACTTTGTAGCAGCTGGCAGGGAATCTTCTGTGTAGACCAGACTGGCTTCAGCCTCCTGAGTACTGAGATCAAGTGTTTGCAATACCATACCTGACTTGTTTCTGTTTTTTTTTTTTTTTTTTTTTTTTTTGTAGCCTAAACTGATTTCCTCAAAGCAATCCTCCTGCCTCAGCCTCCCGAGTACTGGAATTACAGTGTGCATCACCATGCCTGGCTCAGGAGAGTTAATTTCTTTTTCCAATGAAATGGTACACATTATGTCTCCAGTTTCTTTTGTCTCTAGGAACAATGGCCCAGAGGTTTACAGTGAAGTTTTTAAGCTATAACAGTGGTGATGAGAAGGAATCTTCTGGAAATCCAGGTAGGATGACTGACATTGGTGGTCTGTACAGATCTTAGGGTGGCACTCCTGGACTGTCCCCTGGTTATAAGGAACTATCCTGAGTTGTATTCATCTCCATAGCCTGTTTCTTTATCCTGTGATAGTCCATTTTCTCTGATGGCTACTTAATATTTTAATATACATGTTTCTTTAAATGCAAATGTTATATTCTATTTTTGTATTTTGTGGGTTTCTTTTTTCTTTCTGGTTTTGTTTCGTTTTTCATAGGGGTTCTCAATGTAACCCTGGCTGTCCTGGCATTCTCTATGTGAACTCAGAGACCTGCTTGCCTCTGCCTCCCAATGCTGGGATTAAAGGTGTGTGCTACCACACCTGGCTATCTGTGCGTGAGTGTGTGTGTGTGTTTAATGATTTATTTTTATTTTTGTGCAGTGGTGCTTTGCCTGCATGTGTCTCTCTTGGATCTCTTGGAACTGGAGTTACAGACAGTTGTGAGCTGCCATATGGGTGCTGGGAATTGAACCTGGGTCCTCTGGAAGAGCAGCCAGTGTTGTAACCACTGAGTCATCTCTCTAGGCCCTTTTTAAAATGTTATTTTTATTTTTTGTTTATGTTTGTGTGTGTGTTCACTCACATGTACCACTTGTAAGCACTCATGGAGGCCAGAAGAGGGGGGTCAGAGTCGCTGGATCTGGAGTTTCAGGCAGTTGTAAGTTGCTGAGCGTGTGCGAACCGACCTCAGGTCATCTGGAAGAGCAACAGGTGCTCTTAACCACCAAGCCATCTTCCGGCTCCTGGCCTTGAACGCTGGGACTAATCTCCTCCCTCAACCTTCAAAAGAGCTAGGCTTATGGGCACTGTCCTTTTGAAAGGAACGTGATACTCCTGTTGTGGGCCCCTGTCCTCTGAGTATGGCAGCCGCTATCACCTCAGTCAGAACAGATGTGACTGAATCTACAGGAGAGCCTCAGTGAGGTCAGGCCTGTTTCCCTCCCAGCTGGCACAAGGAGGGGTGAAAGGTTAACTGAAGGTATTTCATCCGGGTAGCAGGAAGTCATCGCCTGTGCAGGGTGGCATTCTCGGTGCTGCAGCTGTCTAAAGGTCACCCACACTCCTGTAGTGGGCTCACGCCTCCTGACTCCATGTTTATTCACATGTGGTCAAGGAGAGGCTGGTGCCTGCTCGCTGTGCACCTGCTCATTTCATGTTCTTTTGGCCTCCTTGGTGCCTGCTGTGCCCTGAGGAGCCGCTCAGCACCTGAGATGTGGCAACAGGTGTGGAATTGTTAATATTGTAGCTCTGCCGGGATAAATAAAATACATCAGGGGAGGCTGGTGTTCAGGAACGGTGACAAATAACAGCAGATGTCGAAATGGTACAGTGACCTTGATTGGGTCCTGATCTGTAGAACCGGCACTAAATCACACCGGGGAGTGGGGAGGGAAGTGCGAATATAGCCAAGTAGGCCACTGCTGTGAGGGGTTGCCCTGGGGAATGTTGGTGCTGTGACTAGGCACGTGGCATCGCCTTCAGTTTAAGTGGCTTTGTATCCTGAGCTTCCTCCCTCCACACATGGCTGCCGTCACGCCTGCCTCAAAATGAATAAGTCAAAAAAAAAAAAAATGGAAGCAGGAAGGATAAGTCACCATCTTCTTGCCTCCGCCGTCGAGTGTTGGGATCGCCGGCTGGTGTGCTGTGGCGTTTACAGAGCTCCACCTCCGGGGCTTCCCTCTCGCACTGTGTGAGGGGAGGGAAGATGCCAGCTTTATTTGCTGTGTCTAGGTTACCAGCTTGGCAAGCCGGTCCGAGCCCTAGATGCCAACGGGATGAATGTCACTGCATTACACCTCTGGCAGCCAGGTAATGTGCTTTTGCCATTATGATCTGCCCCCTGGCAGACTGGAGTTAGGAGTATCTGCTGCCCTTTTGGCTTATGGCGTGTGGGGAGGGACGGCTTTTTATGTTTCTGTGCCCCCCAACCCCCCAGGGTGCCTAGCACGTTGTACCTAGTGCTGGGTGTTCATAAGAGCAGTTCGGGCGTGGTTGTGCTGTCTGTGGCCAGCATCTGCTCCCTGGAGAGAGAGCAGTTCCCTCTGAATGGTGGGCACCTGATGTGGCCGTAGGAGTTTCCCACACCTGCTAGAAGCGACAGTGTCCTCTAGCAGCGAGCCACTGAGCCTGGTCCAGGAATTCTCACACAGAATGCTGCCTGTGCTTGGCACCTTCCTAATGCTGCCACCCTGTAATACAGTACCTCCCTTGCAGTGACCCCAGCCATAACATTATTTTCATTGCTACTGCATAACTGTAACTTTGCTTCAGTTATGAATTGTAATGTAAATATCTGATATGTTACCCCCAAAGTGTTCAGGACGCGTAGGTGAAAACCACCAGATTAGAGTAACAATTGTGCAGTTTGTGGAAACTGGGAACTTTACTTTTACTTTCCACTGTTGCTTTGGTTTTGCTCAGCCAGGTGTGCTGGCACATCCCTGTCATCCCAGCACTGGAGATGAGGAGGCAGGAGGATCAGGAGTTCAAGGTCACCCTCCACTACATAGTCAACTGAACTATGTGAGACCCTGTCTCAAAAAAGAGAAAAGTTAACGCTTGTTGTTTGTGTGACTGAAACAGGGTCTTTCTGTGTTGCCCAGGCTGACCTTGAGCCACCATGCTCCTGCCTAGGCCTCCTGTGTGTCACTGAGAGAGTTTTCAGGAAAATCTTAGAAGTCAGGCTTTACTTGTGTTTAGCTCAACAGTGAGAGGCTCGTCTTTCTGTTGCAGCTGGAAGGGGCTTGTGCGATTCAGCTGCTCTCAGACCCATTTTATTTGGAGAGGATGTACTCGCTGGCTGCCTGCTGGAGGTTGGGATTAATGAGAACTGTACGAAGCTCAGGTGAGTCTCACACAGCCCTGAACTCTTGATCCTCTTGTCTGTGTGTCTGTGAGAGAGAGACAGAGAGAGAGAGACAAAGAGAGAGAAAGAGAGATAGAGAGAGAGAGACAGAGAGAGAGAGACAGAGACAGAGACAGAGACAGAGAAACAGAGACCAGGTACATGCTTGCCCCAGTGTGTGTGGGGTGTTTGTGTCTGTACGTATGTGAATCTGTGTGTGTGTGTGTGTGTGTGTGTGTGTGTGTGTGTGTGTGTGTGTGTGCTTTCTGCAGCCAGTTTTTCTCCAGCACAGATTCTAGGTGTGGAACACAGATTGTAATGTTGGTGACACTTGCTCTTACTTCGAAGCCATCTTTCTAGCCCTGTTTTTCTTTTTTTTTTTTGAGGTAAAATTTCCATGGTGTGATTTACCATTGAGGAGTAACTGATTCAGCCTGGCACAGTTGCTCCCACCATCCCCCCACTCTAGAGGCTGAGGCAGGGTTGTTGTCTGGGGTCTTCTTGGGCTGTGCATAACACCTTGTCTCCACATAAACAAAATCAAACAGGCAGGGTCTGTCGGGATGATTCAGCATCTGCCGCTAAAGCTGATAACATGAGTTCATGACCTGGACCCATGTGGTACAGGAAAACTGACTCACTTAAGTTGTCCTTTGACCTCCCCAAGTGTGCCATGGCACATGCATACATGCACATATGTTTAAAAAATTAAAAACAAGCAAAAAGTGAACAGATGAATATCATTTAGGCCTTTCATGATCGCATGAAAAGTTCTATCTAGTTCTAAAATGTTTTCATCACCAAAAATGGAAATCTGTACGCATAAATACTCCCCTAGGTCTTCTCCCCAAAGCCTTGGGTACCCTTCTTTCTGTCCCTGTGGCTTTGCTTGTTCTGGATATTCACATGGACTCATACCCATTCCATGTCACAACATGGTTCGTTTCTATGGTGACTTGTATGTAGACTGCCTTTGTGTCAACATCTTGTTTATCCCCCAGGGTTGATGAACATCTGCATCTTCCATTGTTTGGCTGTGTGTACTGCCAGGAACAGACTAGGCCTGGACTAGTTTCTGTTTGAATGTGCTTACTGTCGTCTCTTCCTTCTTCCGTCCTTCCGTCCTTCCTTCCTTAATTCCTTCCTTCCTTCCTTTCCCTTTTTGAGACAGGGTTTTCTCTGTGTAGCCCTGGCTGTCCTGTAACTCACTCTGTAGACCAGGCTGGCCTTGAACTCACAAAGAACCTGTGTTGGGATTAAAGGTGTCCACCACTGCCACCACCGCCACCGCCGCCACCACCTGGTTAGCACTTCCCGTTCTTTTGTGCTGTGCCTGGGAATCGAGGTGCTGGGCCTTTGGTAATCCCGTTTTGTCTTCAGAGCCCATCTTTCTACAGCGGTGACGTCCTTTGCCCCTCTCACAGCAGGGTGGCACAGCTCCAGCTTCCCACACTTTCCAATACTCGCCATTTCCTCGTTTTTAATTACAATTTGTTGTTGTCTCACATTTATCTTTATTTGTTTGGGTGAACTCCATGGGTGAGCATACATGTGCTTTACATGTGGAGGTCAGAAGACAACCCTTGGGAGCCAGTGCTCTCTCTGGCCATGTTGTAGGATCCAGGAATTCAACTCAGGTTGTTAGGCCTACGTATACACTCCACCCACTGAGCCGCCTCACTGGCCTCTCCCAGCACACTCCCCACTCTAAGATTTGTTTGTTTTTGTGGTATGAATGTTTTTACCTGCATGGATGCCTGTACACCATGTGTAGGCAACCCTGCAGTGCCCAGAAGAGGCTGCCAGATGCCCTAGAACTAGAGTTACACATATTTGTGAGCCACCAAGTGGGTGCTGGAATTGAACCTGGGGCTTCTGGAAGAACAGCAAGTATTCTTTCTTTTTCTTTTTTGGGATAGGGTCTCTCTGTGTAGCTCTGACCATCCTAGAACTTGCTCTGTAGACCAGGCTGGCCTCTACCTTGGAGATCCTCCAGCCTCTGTCTCCCGAGTGCTGGGATTAAAGGCGTGTGCCACGAATGCCTGGTTAGAGAAACAAGTGTTCTTAACTGCTGAACCATCTCCCCAGCTTACATCCACACACGCGCACCCTGTTTTTAATGCCAGTTCTTCCAGAAGACTTTTCTGGGCTCCCAACAAAGACTGAGTGGCCAGTCTTGGGAAAGGACTCAAGGACAAGCCCCACTGGCCACTGTCTAAGAAGTGTCATCTTCCTCTCTTGCAGGGAGAATGTCCTCCAGAGGCTGGATTTCTTGGTACAAGCAACGCATGTCGCGAGGAGAGGCAACTCGGACTACAGTGATCTGAGTGACGGCTGGCTGGAGGTCATACGTGAGTCTTAGTGGCCATGCATAGGGGCTTAAGGCTATTGAGTCCGTGGTTGCCTGATTGACGGGGGGGGGTGTTCCTTCTGTATATATGTTTCTCTTATTGGTTGATGAATAAAACACTGATTGGCCAGTAGCCAGGCAGGAAGTATAGGCAGGGCTACCAAATGAGGAGAATGCTGGAGAGAGGGAGGCAGAGAGAAACCACCAGGGAGAGATGCCATATAGTTGCTAAAGGAATAACATGCTGGAGCCTTCTCCAGTAATAAAAGGCCATGTAAATATACATAGATTATCCCAGCAGTGGTGGCGCACGCCTTTAATCCCAGCACTCGGGAGGCAGAGGCAGGCGGATCTCTGTAAGTTTGAGACCAGCCTGGTCTATAGAGTGAGTTCCAGGATAGGCTCCAAAGCCATACAGAGAAACCCTGTCTCAAAAAACCAAAACAAAACAAAAAACCCAAAAAACAAAACAAAAAAACCATAGATTAGTAGTTATGGGTTAATAATTAAGAGACAGCTAGCCAATAAGAAGCCTGAATCATCGGCCAAATAGTTTCTAATTAATATAAGCCTCAGTGTGTTTATTTGGGGCTAAAGCAGCAACAGGACAAGGTGGGGAAGAAACTCCAGCTACACCTGATATTTGGCCAGGGCTTCCTGCTGCGGGCTGGAAGTTTTCCTCGGCTCTCCCATGGCTGTACCACTACCTCCCTCAGATGAATTTTAATTATCTTTTTCTTTTTTTGTATGATTCTGATGGGGCTGTGACTGTCTGGAATAGCTTTGTGACTCTTTATTATGGCTCTGTATTGTCCCTGTCTATGACTTTCATTTGTTTTACTTTTTGAAGAAAAGATTTTATGCTGGTGGCGCACACTTTTAATCCCAGCACTCGGGAGGCAGAGGCAGGCGAATCTCTGTGAGTTCAAAGCCAGCCTGGTCTATAGATTGAGTTCCAGGACAGGCTCCAAGGCTACTGAGAATCACTCTCTCAAAAACATTTTTTAAAGTTTTTTATTTATGTGGGTGTATGTCTGTGTGGAAGCTTATGCAGCATGTGTGTTGGTGCCCTTGGAGGCCAGAAGAGGACATCAGATCCCCTGGAGTTGGAGTTATAGGTGGTTATGAGCAGCAATGTCAGTACTGGGAACTGAATCTATGTCATCTGAAAGAGCCATCAGTGCTCCTAACTGCTGAGACATCTCTGAGGCCCAGACACTGAGTCTTTTTGCTTAGTTTTATTGTGTGGGTTGGGACCTCACTCGCCACACAGCAAAGCATTTAGAAATCACCCAGGTGAGTAGCACCTGTTTCTGCTGGGTGGATGTGAGGTCACATAGCCATGAAGTGACAACAATTAGAGCTTGCTAGCGAGTAGAACTTCAGGACTGGGAGCCAGACCACGTCACCTCCCATTCCTTAGGATGTCATGTGTGACACTATAGGACGACTGCTCTTAACAGTTGTCTAACTTGACATTCCTGCAGGTGTTGCCGCCCCTGATGCGGGTGCCGACCTGCCCCTGAGCAGTGCAAATGGCATCTGCCTGGAGGTTCCTGCCCAGCTCACCATCCGAATCCTCATTGCCGAAGCTGGCTCTGTGGAAGGGGTGGCTCAGCAAGAGATTCTTGCCGTGGAGACAAGGTGTGGTTCCCTCCTGAGAGTTGCCAAAGTCGAGGGCAGGACAAAGACTAGGAATGCTAGGCAGGAATCTGCACACTTGCAAATGGGGATTGTTGGGGATCTGGCTGTGTGAGTGGAAGGTGCAGACACTGTTTGAGACTGAACCTCCTTCAGGGCTATTTGTAAGGCTCTGTGTGAGAGCCGCAGTGTCGGGAGGGCCAGGGTTAGCAAGGGCTGTGCAGTGCTGAGTGTACTTAGCCCTGTGACCCTGAGTGGCACATTGATGACAGAGTGTGGCCATTGATTGGAGGTTTTGCTGGTACCATTGATTCAGATCACGGAACCTCGTATGGTTTTCGACAGTTTGATGCATGCTGTCACCTAATCTGAGAAACGATGGCATTATGCATCCCAGAGTGGCCTCTCTTTCTAAGCAAGGCTCCACCACTGAGCAATGTCCCAGTCCCACAGTACTGTTTGGAGGATTCCTTGCCATAATGTGTAAAAAGTACCTCAGTTCTGTGCCAAGGGCATGGAACGCCCTCGATACATGGCCAGCTGCTAATAGGCTGTTGGAGACTAGTGGTCTTTGCTTAAAGAACCAGTGACGGGTCCAGGAACTTGCAGAATCTCTGTGTCTACACTTGAGAAACAGATGTGACACTTGGATTCCCCGGGATCCTAAGTCAGACTTCTGATGAATGGTGGCCACGTTGCCTTACAATCGTCCCCTTCTAGGTTCTCCACCGTGACCTGGCGGTACCAGTGTGGGCTCGCCTGTGAGGACAAGGCCGATCTTCTCCCTCTCAGTGCCTCGGTTCAGTTCATTAAAATCCCTGCGCAGATGCCCCCGCCCCCAACGAGGTGAGCCAATGGCTGAGGTTCCTTCCTGCTTCTCACTTGTTCTCCCTGTAACATTCTCACGTGTTTCTGTAGATTCCAGATCAACTTCACGGAGTATGACTGTACCCGGAATGAGCTATGCTGGCCCCAACTTCTGTACCCTCTGACCCAGTACTACCAAGGTAGGGAAGGCAGGTTCCTACGTGTTGTCAGTTACATTATGTCAATTAAAACTAAGAGTCGATGTGTAAATGTCACAAATGACTTTAAACACATAGAAAGACTTAAAAGAAGAAACCACACCACTGTTGATGTTTTATTAACTATTAATAGTCATCACTAATAATCAATAAACAATTACCTTCAGAGTCAAGATAGGATACAACTCAGTTGTTGTGGGGGATGGGTGGGGTCCCTGCAAGAGTCATAGCTGGTAGGGAAACAAACCTCAAAGAGTCTGATGCCAGGCGGTTTATTGCCAGCACATTGAAACACACTACAAATTGGGGAAAAGTTTCCTCATGTAACACAATCCCCAGTGCACAAGAAGGCATAATTAAATTCAACTTAAAGTAAACATCCTTTCTTCCAAGATAGGAGATAGGCTACTTGTACTAGCTTAAGTTCTAGAGATAGGTTACCTGTACTAGCTGAAGGGCCTAAGGAAAGATCTGGTGTGGTCTCAGTCATACAGATAGTATGTTAGGCTATTATCTGGTCCTGGTTTTGGGAGTTTGAAGGAGCCCTCGCTATATAGATAACCTAAGGGTCATTTAGATTATTGGCCACCTCTGGTCCTGGCTATATAGATAATCTAAGGGTCATTTAGAATATAGAGGTAATTTAAGGGTCATTTAGATTATTACCACTTCCGGTCCTGGCTATATAGGTAATCTAAGGACCATTTAGACTATTAGCCACCTCTGGTCCTAGTTGTGGGAACTTGATATGGCCTGGTCCTACAGATAACATAGACCACCAGGCTGTTAATTACCCCAGTTCCCAGTCTTCTGGATGGAAGAACAGGTCATACATCCTTTCCTTTGAGAGGATGATCCTGTGTACTTAACTCTCCTGGTTTTGCCTGATGATTGTGGGTACCAGGGCCCTTGTGCTCCCAGCAAGTAGTGTTTTGCTTTCTTTCAGGGGAGCCCCGTTCCCAGTGTGTCGCCAAAGGCCTGATGCTGCTGTGTCTCCTCATGTTGGCCACACTCCTCAGTCATCCTTGGATTAGAGTGTGCAAAGGCTCAACTCCCATCCACCGTTAAGCTTTCTCAAAGACTCGGGGCATCCGCTCAGTGGCTCCCCCTGTAGGCCTGTGTGTCTCCCTGAAACCCTTTTGTTTGAGACAGGGTATCACTATGTAGCCCTGGCTTGCCTCTAAATGCACAGGGATTTTCCTGCCTCTGCCTCCAGAGTGCTGGGATTAAAGGCGTGTGCCACCATCCCTGGCTCCTCTGAAAATTTTAATAAACAAAATGTCTATTTTTGTAGAAATTCTTAGTGTTAAATAAATTTAAATTAATTATCCAAATGCTCAAAGTGGCCCAGAATGATCTTTCTAGCTGCCAACTGGTTGCAGGGGAGTTGATGGTGTCCTTGAATATCAGAGACTTAATTAAGCCCAGCACGCATTCCTGCTCATAGGGGTTTTATTTTGACCAGACTTAATGCAAGCATGTAAGAATAAAGTGAAAGAGGTAAACTAAACTCAAAGGCTTCACTTCTAATACATCACACTGGGGAGAAACTATAAATGTGGAAAGTCTTAAGTTCCCGTTGGACTCTTATTGTTCCTACTAGAGAGAAGCCATATAAATGTAAAGGTTAGCCGGGTGGTGGTGGCACACGCCTTTAATCCCAGCACTCGGGAGGCAGAGGCAGGTGGATCTCTGTGAGTTCGAGGCTGGGCTGGACCGATAGCCTCCAAAACAATACAGAGAAACCCTGTCTCGAAAAACCAAAATAAATAAATAAATAAATAAATGTAAAGGTTGTGGAAAAGCCTTCAAAACAAATCCAGCCCCCTAGCCTCTAGTTCTTGGGTTGTCAATAAAACTCCAAGACAACATTCCTCTTAGTACCTGGATATTGTGTTTAGCAACAAGCCACCTCCAAGAGACAGACAAAGTCATAGAAACCACAGAATGCTCCCTCCCAGCAACAACCAATGAGAACAGGCTACCTGCAAGTAACAGACAAAGCCATTGAAACCACCAAATGTTCCCATCTGCAGCCAACCAATCAAAAATACTAACAAACCAGTTGTCCTGACTCTGGGAAATTCCCATAATTGTTCCCTGAATGTCAACCAATCAGGATCTGACCCATACCTACTGATGTAATTCTGTGTTTTTTGTTTTTCCCTTTAATTCTGGCTATAGAAAAGGGAGGCTGCTGTGTCAACCTGCTAGACAGAGTGGAGTCTATGGTAGGAGTAAACAATAAAGCCTTGCGTTTTCAGTTTGGTGAAGTCTGTCTCCTTAGTGGTCTCTGAGGGTCTTCGAGACTTGGGCACAACAAAAGAAAGGGTTGGTTGATTACTGTCTCATATTCCAGAGAAAGGGTTAGAAAATGCTTATAAAGGATTTTTAAATTAAATTTAAACCAAAAAAATTTTTTTAAATTGTATTTATTATTGTTATTGTGCATGTCTGTGTGGATTTGAGTGAGTGTAGGTGCGAGTACATGGAGGACAACCTTTGGGAGTCAGTTTTCTCCTCCTGCCATTTGGATCTGGGTTTGAAGGCAGGTTGTCAGGCTTGTGTAGACAGTGCCTTTACCTGTCTCAGTATTGCTATAGTCTTTTTTTTGTTTGTTTGTTTGTTTGTTTTTCGAGACAGGGTTTTTCTGTGGCTTTGGAGGCTGTCCTGGAACTCACTCTGTAGACCAGGCTGGCCTCGAACTCACAGAGATCCGCCTGCCTCTGCCTCCCGAGTGCTGGGATTAAAGGCGTGCGCCACCAACACCCAGCGCTATAGTCTTAATGTGCTGTATTACTCACTGTAGACCAGGCCAGCCTAGAACACACAGATCCACTTGCCTATGCTGCTTGAGTGCTGAGATCAAGGGTGTGAGCCACAATGTCTCAGACAGCTTTCTTAAACAGGCCAGGACCACGAATCCAGGGGCACCACTGCTCATAATCAAGATAACTCACCGTAGTCACGGCTTACAGGGCCATGAGGTCTGTGCCACCCTCAGCTGAGAATCCCTCTTCTCTTGTCATGTTGACAGTAAAAACTAACTGGTGCAGGGGCATTTGAGCTGAGGCCTAAAGGAGTCAGCTTTGAGGAGATCCAGTGGGCCACCATTTAAACTGAGGGATTCCAGAGTTCAAATATGTGGACCAGGAAAAAGGGAGGAGGTGTGACTGAGTGAAACGATCCAGGACTATGGTGAGTGGTTTGGATTTTATTTGGAACGCAATGAGAGAAGCCAGAGACTTTAAGCACACATCGGATTGTATGTTATTGTAGAGGTCACATGACTGCTGTGTGACCAGGTGTCTTGGGGGCTAAGAGACTGTTGTCAAGCTGGCTCAGGATGATGGCTGCCCCTTCTGTATTCTCACTAAGAACCAAAGGGTGTATACTTGGAGCAGAACTCTATGGCACAGGAAGTGGTTAAGACTTTTGGGCGGTGGTGGTACATGCCTTTAGTCCCAGCCCTTGGGAGGCAGAGGCAGGTGGCTTTCTGTGAGTTGGAAGCCAACCTGGACTACAGAGCTATTTCCGTGACAGCTGAGACTACACAAAGAAACTCCCATGTGGACTTCCCCCACAAAAAAGACAATTCTCCTGACCCCCATTAAAATGTCTATTTATTGGGACTGGAGATATGGCTCAGTAGTTAAGCTCACATATTCCCCTTTCAGATGACCCGAGTTTGGGGTCCATGTCAGGTGACTCACTGCAGTTCCATCTCCTGGGGATCTGATTCCTCTGGCTTTTACAAGTCATTCGAGCGCGTGCGCTCGAGCACACGCACGCACACACACACACATATACTTTAAAAAAATCTTTTTTTTGGGCTGGAGAGATGGCTCAGAGGTTAAGAGCACTGACTGCTCTTCCAGAGGTCCTGAGTTCAATTCCCAGCAACCACATGGTGGCTCACAACCATCTACAATTCAATCTGGTGCCCTCTTCTGGTATGTAGGCAGAACACTGTATAAGTAATAAATAAATAAATCTTTTAAAAAAATCTTTTTTTTTTTTGGTTTTTTCGAGACAGGGTTTCTCTGTGGCTTTGGAGGCTGTTCTGGAACTAGCTCTTGTAGACCAGGCTAGCCTCGAACTCACAGAGATCCGCCTGCCTCTGCCTCCCGAGTGCTGGGATTAAAGGCATGTGCCACCAACGCCCGGCTAAAAAAATCTTTTTAAAAGACTCATTTATGTGTGTACTTGAGTGTATATATGTGCAGTAACTACTGAGGTCAGAAGAAGGCACTGGAGTTACAGGTGGTTGTGAGACACTTAATCTGGGTCCTGGGATCCCCAAAACCTAAAGCAAGAGCTGTAAGTGCTCTTAACTCCTGAACTATCTCCAGACCCTGGGGCTCATTAAAACAACTATAACAAAAATCTGCTGAAGTTATCAAGAGTACTTGCCTAGCATGTATGAAGTCCTGGGTTCCATTTCCAGCCAACACAGACCCAATGTGATAGTGCTTGCCTTTAATCCCAGCACTGGGAGAGGGAGTGTGGGAGGCTGGAGACAGGAGTATCAGGATTTCAAAGCTCTCCCCAGCTACTTCTAGAGCTTGTGGCCAGCCTGGGCTACATGAAACCGTACCTCAAAAACAAACAAACTAGTTCTCCCATCCTCTGGTGCATGGCCCCTCACCCATGCACACAGGGGCAGCATTAATCGGATTTAGTGGATCATCACACACACACACACACACACACACACACACACACACACACACACAAAGACATGAAACTGTCGTTTTGGAATACTGGGGGAGTTGGAAGGGGAAATGGGCGGAGCTGATATTTTCGTTGTATACATGTAGGAAATTCTAAAAAATAAGGAAAATTGAGAAAGAAGTCCACAGGGTTCGGTGGTACACATCTTTAATCTCGGCATTTGTAGATAGAGGAAGGATAATCTTTGTGAGTTCGAGGTCTACCTGGCCTACATAGTGAGTTCCAGGACAGCCAGGACTACATAGTGAGACCTTGACTCAAAGAAAAAGAAGAAGAAAAAAAGTGGCGGTACCTCTTAGCCAGAGGCAGGCGGATTTCTGAGTTCGAGGCCAGCGTGAACTACAGAGTGACAGCCCGGCTACATAGACGCTGACTGGTTAAAAACAAAACAAAACAAACGTCTTCAAAAGTATCTAGCCGTCGTGGGGCACACTTACAAACTGGGGAAGCTGAGGCAAGAGGATTGCGAACTCCAGACCAGCTTGAGCTCCACTGCAAGATCCCATCTCAAAAAACTACACAATAATGAAACAAACTCTACAAGTCGCGCAGGGGCCATCCAGTTAGGGCTCCCGCCTCCTGTGCACCGATTGGACGAACCGTAGTGACAGACTGCCACAATCGCAACCGTTCATTGGTTAGTCTGCGATGGGCGGTTCCCCGAGGCGGAACCGGAACCGGCTGCGGCGGTGGGCGGGGCGTGGCTGGTAGCTGTGGCGGCGGCTGAGCGGTGGCCGCGGTGGCAGCGGTGCGGAGCCCCATGGTGCCGGTGCGCGGGCCGCGGCGGCTGAGCGAGGCGGCGCCGCCATGGGCTCCCTGTTCCGCAGCGAGAGCATGTGCCTGGCGCAGCTCTTCCTGCAGTCGGGCACCGCATACGAGTGTCTGAGCGCGCTGGGCGAGAAGGGCCTGGTGCAGTTCCGAGACGTGAGTGTCCCGCGGCCTGCGGGCCTGAGCAGCTCAGGGATGGGTGCTGGCACCGCGGAGACCCGGGCCGGGAGGTGGCTTCGCAGGGTGGCCAAGGAGGGTCTCTCTGAGGAGGTAGTCTCTGAGCCGAGACCAGAATGGGGTAGGAGCTGTCAGGGGGAAAGAGGAGCTTCTCGGAGATGGCTTTGCAGGGTAGTCAAGGAAGAACCCTCCGTGGAGGTGGTCTTGGAGCTGAGATCCGGGGGGGGGGGGACAGGAGCTGGCAGTGGGAAGATGTGGAGGAGGAGGGTACCCAGCAGTGGTTTTGCTAGGTGTCTAAGGAGGGGCCCCTCTGAACAGGAGTAGGAGGGATAAGAAAGGCTGGAGGCATGGGGATGTGTGACAGGTTGTGAGCCCCTGGGGACTCCTGTGTGGTGATGCGCCGGCGTTGTTGACAAGTGACAAGGACCTGGGTCACAGTCAGTGTGTATGGAATGGAGACCGTCTCTGCAACTGTAATAACACACTTGCGAACGCAGCCATTGGCTCGTTTTCAGCCTCTGTGCGCTACCAACCTCCAAGGGTCAGGACTTTGTCCAACTTGTTCTTTCCTCATTTCCCACGAGTGGCACGGACCCTGGAATTTATTTATTGGCATTAATAAACTGTTGTGGGGTGACTACATAAGCTTTTCTTGAGTGACTTCTGGCCTTGAGGACTCTGAGCAAGGCAGGTGAAGACCCTGTGCTCTTGGAGTTCACAGTCTGAGAGGATGCTGGGTAAACACTGACCACGGGCTCTGATGATGAGTGCTATGGAGGAGGAGAACAAAGCAGAGAGACTGCCAAGCAGGACCTGATAGCTACCGATGGAGTTGGACTCCACCAGTTTGGGCTTCTTGCCTGTGTCTTTCTGATGGGTCCTTACTCTCACATTCTGATTTGGGTGATCCTTGGCATCTTCACAGGGGACTCCTGGGTGACAAGTGAGGGCACAAGCAAGGCGTAGGGCTCTTCCTGGGTCACAGAGTCACTCTCTTGGATCATCATACCTGACAGGTAGGGTGTGGTGCCGTGAGTGGCACCAGAAAGATCCAGGCCGCAGTCGCAAGGGAAACAGGCTTTTATAGCAGGTCTGTTTGTTCCATCCTGTTAGGACTCAAGCCAAAACACTTACCATGCTTCAACCTTGGGGGCTGAGCAAGCAGTGTAATCAGCTCAGGGCCTCAGGTTTCACTGAGTGCCGTTACATGAGATCCAGGTTGGACTCAGGGGTCCTTCAAAAGCGGATGGATGAGAAAGTGCTGCCGGTCTTTGCAGGAGGGAAATAAAATGAAAGTGCTTTGCTGAGTCTTCAGGGGCGCTGGGCATCAGGTGCCTGTAAGCTTGGGCTCGTTTATGGGGTGGGATCACCAGCCCTTTTTGGGGACAGGAGGATCAGGAGTTCAAAGTCATCCCCAGCTACTTCTAGAGTTTGTGGCCAGCCTGGGATACATGGGACTGTACCTCAAAATCAAACAAACAAACAAATAAATAAATAAGTAAATAAGCAGATCTCCCATCCTCTGGTGCATGGCCCATTATTCATGCACACACGAGTAGCATTGGAGGGGGTGGGGCAGCTAAGGGACTTCCAT